TTCAGCAGCTATGGCAAGTAAAGAGCATATGTTGCCATATTTCGAAAGGATTATCTCCATCCTTGATGGTTATCTATCAGAAAAACAAACAGAAGAAACCATGTGTCTTCAAGTACAAGCAGTCGGTATGTATAAAAGCATTTAAAGGTTGTGTTATCTCTGTCAATAATATTAATAGTTAATTAGCATTGTAGACACTCTTGAAGCAATTGCAAGAACAATAGGAAATACAAATTTTGCACCCTTGGCTGGTAGGTCTCTTAACTTTGGAATGAAATTATTAAAAGAAACAGAAGATCCAGATTTAAGAAAATCAATTTATGGATTATTCGCATCAATTAGTACTATCATGAAAAAAGAAATGGCAGGTGTTTTGCCAGAAATCGTTGAATACATGATAACAAGTATACAGAGTTCAGAAGGCATAGTGGTATGCAAATTATAAAATAAATATAAGGAAAGATAAATTAGTTACAATTATAATTATATTGTTCTGTTTTTAATAGCCTCACTTTAAGGAGGATGAAACTTCTGCCTTTCCTATTTATGAAGATCTTAGTGAAAATGAAAATGAAAATGAGGAAGAAGATATTGAAAACACAGATAATGAAGAAGATGACGACGATGATGATGTAGCGGGTTATAGCGTTGAGAATGCATACATTGAAGAAAAAGAAGAGGCAATTTTAGCTTTAAAAGAAATTGCAGAACATACAGGGTAAAATATTTTTTGTTTTTATATTAGTTTTTACAAGTTTGATCACTTACTTCTTATAATCATTTTTATATTTGTTATTTTAGAGAAGCATTTCTACCATATCTTGAGAAATCTTTTGAAGAAACTTTTAAATTAATTAATTATCCACAAGAAGATATTCGTAAAGCTGTTATTGATGCTCTCTTGCAGTTTTGTATTAACTTCTCAAAAATTAATACTAATGAAGGAAAGGAAGCATTATTAAAAGCTCTTTCTGTTTTTATTCCAAAATTATCTGAATTAATACGATTAGGAGACGAACGAGCAGTAGCTATCAGTGGTTTAGATGCTTACACAGAACTTTTGAAAGAGATAAAATCAGATGTCCTTATTGGAGAGGGTCATAAAGAGGCTATAATGAATTGTATTACCGATGTCATGTTAGGTACAGATTTAATACAAATTTTTGGCATCTTAGTAACTATTATCTATAAAAATAGTTGTTTATGATAGGCAAAACGGAATGTCAAGATCAAGAAGAAACGGATGATTTAGATACCGAAGCTGAACAAGATCAATTATTGGTTGAGTGTTCAGGTGATGTACTATCCAATTTCGGAAAAGTAATCCCACCAGAGGACTTCGAGCTTTATTTTCAAACCGTATTGCCGATGCTCCTGGAAAGATTGGTATAGTTTTACCGATTTATAATTATGTATTTGTTAATACTCTCTGATATATTTACAGTCTAAGAATTAAATAATATTTCCAGAAAAAGAACAAATCAGAAGCCCAAAGATCCTTTGCAGTTGGTACAATTTCAGAATGTTTTTCAGGACTTAAACATAAAGTAGCTGGTTTCGTATGTCAGCTGCTTCCTACACTTTTGAAGCTTACAGATGATCCAAGCGCCGAAGTTCGAAATAATGCAATATATGGAATCGGTGAACTTGTATTGCATGGCAAAGATGCAGTTTATATGTATCCTTTTCATGTGTTATTTCAAAATTATTATTATAATTTCACACGATTTTATTTTTCCTTAATAACAATTCAATAGGCATTACACTGACATTTTATCCGTTTTGTCAAGTGCAATCTGTAAAGAATCTCACGCAGGAGCTCGTGATAACATAGTTGGAGCAATTGCACGACTTATAATTGCTAATTACTTCAATGTACCACTTGATCAAGTATTTCCTATCTTTGTAAAGCAGTTGCCATTGAAAGAAGATTTTGAAGAATATAAGGCAGTTTTTAGAAGTATATTAACACTATATGAAGCAGGGCATCCCATTTTACAGTCACATATGAACATATTGCTTAAAGTTGCTGTTATCGTATTACATAAGAACAAAACTACTGATGATGGTATGTTACACAATGCTTCCTTACCGTTTGGCATATTAAAAAGTATGAAATTATTGTAATGTACATGTAAATTATATATGCATATCTTTTATACAGAGGCAAAGGGTATCGTTATGGAGTTCATTAAGTCTGCTCAGCGAGATTTTCCAAACGAATGGAATTCCGTGTATTCCGAACTTCCAGTAGAAGTCGCAACAGATATTGAACGTATATTTTCTTAGACTTCAATATGGACTTGAAAACTATTGCCTTTCGACTATTTCGTATTACAAGAAACATGCAGGCTGATAGGTGAAGATACTTTCATTTCAGAGAGTGATATATTCAATACATCTCATGGTTTTAAGTTATATCTAACAAATTAGAGTTATCAATAGAGTTATGTTAGTTAACTTTTTTTATATAAATAAATAAATAAATATATATATATTTATATATATATATATATATATATTCATTATTTAAACATTGTCATTATTATGGAAATTATATTTTCTTTAATAATATTATATCTTTTAAATTATTTTGATGAAAAAAAACGAACTGTTTCAATCAGCATATTTAAATGAATTAATTTATTGAAAATCACTAATATCGGTGATTTTTAAATTTAATAATATATGTACTTGTTAAAAGTGTAGTTATTATAAGTACACGTTATACTCAGAAACACAGGTTAGTTATTATGTTCCATATTTGTAATCAAGTATGATACGTATAACATGAAACATTATGTGTATACATTGAACATAAATGTACTATTTGAAGAATAAAATTGTTGCACTGTATCTGTTTTATAAACAGCTTTTGTATTTTCTTGATTGGGAATTGCATTATAAAAAGGTACATAATACACCAAATTAAATTTTTATGCAATTTTGTTGAAGCTAATATTTATTTAAAAATTATCAGTACATCTAATACTAATTATTCTGAATCATTGATAGAAAACGAAAAATACATTAGTCGGATTTTTGATCGATTGATTTATCAATTCTACAAAGACGTTATCTAAATTAAAATAGTTTACTTCATTATAAACAATTTTGCACTGATTTACAATAAATTAAATAAAATACATGAGAGAATGTGTAAACGTAGTAAGTAAAATTCTGCAATATCGATTGCAAAATTTAAAATATATTATGAAGATTTCTGTTGACTTAGAATATCAAAATTGATATACAATCGATACTTTATCTAAAAATATAAGATAACTGAACAGACTGCCGTACTTTTAGAAAATCATTTTTTAGAACATTCATCTTTTTAACTCAGTGCAATTAATTTCTATCTTTGGAAAGCACAAGATAGAATTGTAATATATCTGTGCGAAGTTTAATACAAAAATCATGTTAATTATTTACAAATTATTTATAATTAAACGTCTACAAATATATAGTGCAAAGAAAAAAAGCATATATCATCCTCGATGAAATATTACACATGATGCTGAAATTAATTAATACGATTATTTCCTTTAAACACTTGTATTAAGAATATAAATATGAAATCTTGAAGTGAATTATAATTTAAAAAAAAATTAATAAAAATTTTTAATTGAATAAAAAAAATACAAATTTTCCAACATATAATGAGGTGGTATATAAATGAACTGTTCGTGTTATGATTCTCTTCTTTAAAACATTTTCCAAACTAATAATAAATAAAGAAATCTATTAAATGAATAATAAAGATTAAAATCATCTGTGACATTTACAAATTTCGTTACCGACATTAAACGATGTAACAATCAAGTGAAAGATAATAAGTAGAGAACATTATTATCGACGAAATCGATTTACTCGAAGCAAAGTAAGAAATGCTATTGAATACCTATAGATTAATGGATTTACAAGTGTATATATATGCTCCAAAATTAAAATATTCAAGAATGATGTCATTTTGAAAACAAAGTACGGGAAAGATATAGGATATATTCCTGATGGTAAGTAGGAATATCATTTTTATATCAGTATTTAATATGTATGCAATACAGATAGATTTTACATAAATTGTATTATAATCTAAAAGTGATGTATAAATTATGTGAGTATATATACACGTACATAACCCAAAGCGTAATATTACGAAACAATTTCAACTTATATACATACTCTCTTAAAGAAAGAATTTATCGATTATATTGTTATCGATCGAATCGATTTATTGTATCACGTGATTGAAACAATTCTTAAAATAAGAATGGAAACTGAAACATGAAATATATTTCCTTTAAAGAGTATAGCACGTTTGGAGAAAGTGTTCCATATACTTGTAGTGTCATAATGAGTTTCACGATCAGATGATGTTTCGTTTTCACATATAAACGTTTTGACATACCAACTTGTCGATTAACGACCTTCCTATAGCAAGACAACGGAAGTCATAAAGCGTTATCGAGGTTCTTTCCGTGCCATTGAGCTGAGTGAGTTAGTCATCAATGATCGAATGTGTATGTACCCACAGGTATATGCGCTTACATACGCGGTGTGTTAAAACTCTGATATACATTGTTCACTTGTATGTGTTTTTTTGAGAATAATAAGCGTTTCACAAACGCTGTTTTTTTTTTTTGCTATTTAGACAATTCGTTATAACCATACTTCTTGTGTTTAGAAAGCATAAGAATGCCTGTTATGCCAGTTGCGTAAGCGGAGATTTCAATCGCGATACAACGCATCGATGAACAAGCGGGAAGAATTTTCAGAAATGGATGTTCGAAGTTGTTTTAATCAATTGGTTTAAAAATAACCAAACATTGATACTATTCTGTATGTATATACTGAAATATTCGATTTGTACTTGAATTTTAATTTACTAAATGTAAAAATAAGTAAATTCTTACATTGTACAAAATGCATTCTCGCAAACTCGAAATTTCAAATTTCATCAATTTTATGAAAAATTTTATAATTAACTATCGTCCTCCCTTCTTTTGATGAACTAGGTATACATGTTACAAATACCAAAAGAGAATGTGCTGACACGGTTAACAAAGTCGAAATACATCCAAGAAGCACGTAAATTTTGGACACCCTATACATGCACGCATATTGAGTGGCTGATGCTGGTTAGTGTCCTTGGGATCTCCACCATGACTCGAATCGAAAAGGAGCCGTAGGTGTACGACCCATGTCCGTGGCCCAACTGTGTACCTGTCGAGCTTACCATGCTTCATGGAGATATCGCTAGTGGAAAGTTTCGTCAGACGAAAGTGGCTTATTGCGCGCGACGGCTCAACGCGGTTAAATCGTACGATCCATCGATGAATTGTCCGAGCAACGTGTCTAAATAGTGGAAACACATATCGTCTGCTACTATTGTGGATAGTTTGGCGGAAATTAAAACTACGACAGGGGGGGATGATATCATTTCAGTAATTTTGGTAAGTAAACCATCAGTTACTCTCAGTATTATTAAATATTATTAAATATAATAAGAAAAATATAGTAACCTACTGACTATCCTAAGGCTAAGGCTAAAGACATTTCATAATACTTGTCTCTGATTTACTAGGGGTGTTGTGTATTTTGTTGGATGTATATATTGGCGCCATACTTGATGTCCATGCACGCATTATGCTTTCATTATGCACCTACATGTGAAATCTTACGTTGTAGTTTGTATCATTATTGTATACTATATTAACGTAAATATTCACACAGGATTTACAACGATGTCATTTCACCATCCGTTATAAATGCTTAATCTACACCAATGGCAGAACGAACGAACTGATTATCTACACGACCAGCTTAATGCCGTAACAGCTTTTTGCTCTGTTATAAAATTACAAAGAGATAGATACCGTTTTTTTCACCGCACGGTAATTACTCACAAGGAACGATCAATTGCGTGATTCAGTCGATTACTTGATTATTTGGCTGTTAATCTAACAACGTGGTTATCAGACAGTCATCGATGTTTTCGTCGAAAGTTTGATCTATGAAAGAGCACAATCGATCAGGATTATTAACTTCGCCTTTTTGTGATCACTATGCAAATCGGATTAAAAAAAAAAATAAATATTATAAGTACAAATGAGTGTAAAAAATAATCAATGTACCAAATAGTATATTTTATGTGACAATTCGTTCAGTAAATACCTATATATCATATATATACATATCACAATATTGGAACTCTTTATAAAATATCGAATATTTATCGAGTGATGAAATCATTTGAGCAAATGATTCTCTACCTGTCTTTAGCAGTGTAATAATCGATTCGTTCCTTCATGCTGTATCTATCAATGCGAAAAACATCCTGTAATAAACAGACTAATCGCATCCTTGCTTTGACAGATACTTATTTAATGGACCAGACAGTTTTGGTCGTTGAAACGACCCGGAAGGCCGCGTGTCTCCACGGCCTCACTCGCATATGAAAGAGCGAGAGCAGGATGTAATTAAGATTCGACGATTAAAAGACGTCTGACTCGAGACGCAGTGGGAGGTCGTCATCCTGCATGATTTGCGATTCTTCACGCGAGAACGCGTAAATCTGCTATATCTGCATACGCAAATCTGTTGTGCTTGTACAATGATTTTTATACAAGTTCAAATATTAATTACCGTTTTGATACTTCAACTACCGCTTACATTCGGTAGTTATTTTCTTTTATTAGATACCCACTATGGTTTATATAGTCTATTATTTCAAAATACAAATTTCCATTGCATTACAAATTCATTATTTTTATTTTTAATTACAGCTGATGCTTTGGGAGCACTTTGAAATATTACAATACCAATTTGAGAAATCACAAATTTATTAAACAACATTGATTTTTATTTGTATGTGCAATTGAATTCCGTATGAAAACTGCCATTCTTAATTGATGTGATAGGAAACAAAATGTTCACATTTAACGATAAGGATTTAATTCATGGGTGCATGTATTATTTTCGATAGCGCGAAGTACTCAAGCGTGACACGCCAGACACAATGACCATGCTGTTACTTGTAAATGTCACTTTTACACTCGACGTGAGCAACCAGTAACACGAAATGGATCTTTCGTAAACCGTTTTTCTCTTTTTCCGTTTACAATTATCACATTTTTATCAATTTAATCCCTTGTTTTTCCATTTAAATTTCGATGACGCGTGCCATAGTTGACAACAATGTTGGACACGTCGAGATAGATCGAGACACGAGTCACTTCGTCCGAATGCGACACACAACTGAGACAGAAAGACATCGACGAAAATGAACCACGAACTTGACCCGCGATGTTTACGAACCACGTCTCTCGTCCATGATATTCATGTTTGGCCCGATTTTCTTACCACGATTCTCATACGATAGTGCACTTGAATGAATTTATTATTATGATGTTATGATTGCTCTTTTATTTTGTCCAGATTAACGAATATCATAAAGTTTTTCAGGATTATCATTAAATGTATTGAAACACTTCAGAATGTCGTCAGAGTGGAAAAACTATTGTGTGGAGCGATGAACATTAGGATTCGCATCAGTCGTGTGCCTTTATACGAAATCGGCATCACGGTCAGCCGATCGAGATTTCAGTACCGAGAAACTGTCAGATAATCGACCGAGGATCAAGATTGATCAAGGATAAATAATGATTCTGGACAATGATCTCCGATAAAATTTGAACTTGATAAATATCGAAAAGATTCTTCGTTCTTTCGAATTCCGTACCATCTCTAATGAAGATTCATTGAGCGTGAATCTGATAGAGAAAGTTGTCTGTCATGATAATGGATACGATTAAAAATAACACGTATTCGATACCCTGCTACAAGTTTCCTTGCATGCAACGTATATATGTGCCCGATTTCTACATTTACGTTTATTAATGGCGACCACTTCGTCGAAACTAAACATATCCTTTTGACACTAACACAAATTTGTTATTTTATTTTCAGTGATAAATGATCACAGACCAAGCACATGCACCAAGCACCAATTAAGCGACGAACGTAGGTGGATTCGCAGAATTGAAAGAAACCCGACTGACAAACTCGAACATTATTGGAACACTTAAAAGGAAAATCCAGCAGACTGAAGTTACGAACATGATCTCGGACAACGGGCAGGTGACTTTATCGTTTTGGCAGCGGAGCATCACGTGTGCGCCTTTGAACGGCTGAAAGCTCGGAAAAGCGTGACTGTGTTCGATAAACGTAGTTCGCGGCAATAAGGAGGGAAATATAAACGGAGAAGGGAAGGCAGCATTTACAGTGGCCCATTTCCCTTATCACGATAAAACATATAGCTCTAACGTTAGTGCTTTAGAGGCGACTCGACGGAACACGAAGCACGACCAGTGAGTCGAGAGTCGCTTTAGGGTGAGTCATTTTTACATGCGATCAGTCTGGTCGTGGATTGTAACCGCGATGGATCGAACAACCGTGAGATCGTTCCTGTGGTCATCATCGTCGATCGTGTCTCAAAAGAAGGAATAAAACTCGAGATTAATCTCTCGAGAAGAAGAAAATGGAACTGTTCACTCGTGCATCTTTGAATTCACTGCACGTGGTGGATGATGGCCGGATCATCTCGCCGAATAATCTCGACGCGTGGTCATGGTCCAGCTTACGAGTGAGTGCAATAATTCTTTGACAATCGCGATAGTGGCTGGTGATATTCAATTTCGGCAATGAGTATCGATGACGTTGAAATAATCCGATTGAGCGCGTTGCTCGCACAGGGATCTAGCGTTTTATTGCGAGTCACTTAATAAATGTTTAATTAGGAGCGTACAAGAATTTGTTCCTTTTATGAGAAATGGAATACACATAGGCACTTTATTCGCAATGATAATTACGATTAGCGAGTCAAGTTGGGAGACGGAATAAATTAAACCAGGAAAAACTTTTCGCGTATTTCATTGGAATTTACAAGTGATTAATATTGATTAAATTTCCATGGAAAGACATTCCTAGGAATTTCTGTTAATTTTATTCACCTTCGAAAGTGTTCACGAGATATTGTTTCGTAATCGTGTTGATTATTCGCAATGTAATTGAGACCAACAAATTTAATCTAATGTATTCACGTCATGAGTTCGTCTCACAGTCGATATATTTTGACCATAAAATAATACTTCTCATTTCCGTATCATTCTAATCATAGATAATCGTTTTCACTCGTTTAGAGGTGTTTCACACATCCTGCAAAACATTCCCGACGCGAACGATAATTGAATTATAAGGACGACGTTAGGATGAAAGAGGTGGCCGCGGAAGCATTAGTGTAAAGAAGTTGCTATCTGTTAACGTCACGATTTCTGTGAAATTGCAATTATCGATAACTTTATTTATCTAGCTAGATCTTGATAACTTTTAACTACATGCAATTACTTACACGAAGAAGTTGAAGAGTAGTCCGATGTTATATCACTCTTTTTTCTACTTTTGAATCGATTACAAGGAAAAGTCGTATTTTTACTCGATGAACGATAGTGTGAACAGCCTATTTGTTACAGTATCAATCTTGTATCAACAAACGTTCTCGATAACCGCGGAAAAACTTTTTCAATCTGAATCGCGTCCTTCGTCCACGCGATAATCGCTGAAAACTGTTCTTATTTAACGATGCATTTTATGACATCATTTCTTATCATACAATTTCTTTCCTTATTCTTTTCTTCTCATTCTTTTTTTTCTTCCTCCTTAATTTATTAAATTCCTATCGAGGAATTTGATTCGTACGAACAAGCAAACCACTTGTAATGTTAATTAATTTTGAGAAATAGATAAACGATTATTTTTTCTAAACATTTTTATCTTTTTGCAAACTTTCAAAACAATTTGCGACGGTAGCGTTATCGATGAGTCGCGTTATCGAAGGTTCTAATCTTGTGGCCACAGGAATGCTAAATATTTTTTGATCTCTCGATCCTTCAAGCAATACCAATTCTATTTGAGACTTATCGCCGCACCTGTCTAGACCAAGTAATGTCATACTCAAAAATTGAGCTTGGAATCTTAACGATTTGATATGAGGACAGAACTGAATATTACTATACTGAAATCATATTCAGAATAATCTATACCTATTTTCTATTAATCTAAGAACTAATACTAACGTCCAACCGATTACAGTAATTTTTATTATTTTTAGACCGAAATTCTCTCAAGACTCTACGTAAATAACCCAGAAATGACTACCAATCCCGAAGACCAAACTCAAAGTTGCGACCATCATTCATCTAGCAAGCCACCGTTTCCCAAAACCTTTAATCACTCTACCAACCAGCAAAAAAAAGATCAACCAATCCATCTCCAACGACATCACATCCCAATATTACCAAACATTTTCACCAACTATCGCTAACCTGGATCATCTGGATCAGTCTAAGCTACGGTTAGCCTGTATAAGAGCAATTTGCATGTCACAAACGTTCGACGTATATATGAATAGTACAACGATTAAACGAAAGGAAAAAAGAGATGGGAAAAGGTGGTCGGGCCCGAGAGTTCAAGATTGAAGATCAATATTCGCCGGACCGGACGAAAGGTTCGCGGTCGAGCCGAGATGCGAAAACGCACGCGCGAAACGCAGACGGGAACCCGTTCGTTTCCCGATGGAAAGTCTCGAGAATCACCGGGCTCTGGCACCGGTGCTTTCCTGCAGCAGGAAACCGTGAAACGGTGTAGAGGTGCGGCTGCGCCTCATGATACTCAGTCCGATTTTTATCGTGCTTTACGAGCCGCATAATTCACGTCAGCCACCGTGCACGCGTCGATTTTGCATCAGACAGCCGGTGACTGCCGAGGATACTCGCACGCCGGTAGCTCGGGGTTCCTTGGCTCTTTATCAATGAGATAGTGAACGCGGTAATACCTTCTTGCTTGTTGTTTTTCGTATTTATTCGCGTGAGACGTACGATTCGTGTGAAATCATTACCTATGTATACGAAGCTCCTCCGAAGAAGCATAAATTTAACCAGTTTAAGAGATTATCTCATTCGATAGAACCAGAGGAAGAAGAGATACCATTTCGACACAAAGGTGTGATTTTCGTACGGTGATTATGTGGAGGGTGTTTAATTGAAATTTGCCAGTTTATGACATTTTCAGTTAACACCTGAGTGGATATCGCGCGGTAATACATTTTTTATGACGCAGTTGCATGTGATTCCATATTGGTCGAGGAGCGTAGGTAATGCTGAAGGATCTTCTCGAGTTCTTCCTGGAACTGACTGGAATTTTACTTGGAATATCAGTGATCGCTCTTTAATCATCTCGTTGTATGTTTACCGTGAGAATTTCGATTGTTGAAGTTTTGCTTGATTGACATTGACTAAATTATATATAATTATATATATGTACATGTCACATTTCCTGGAAGAATGTCGTGAGCACGTGTAATCTTGAAATTGTCATATATCGAACGATACGTGTGGTACATATTAACTAGTTCCATTTTAGAACGATATCTAAAACAGGTAATTTCTCGAAGAAGAGATTATCGAATCAGTAATCTCATCGATTTAAGATGTTATTCTCATTTTTTCCTTTCGCTGCATATTTACTCGCCGATCACAAGTATAAAACGAACGATCGACGATATTGGAACAGTACGTCCTGGATAATCACTTCTGTGCTTACGATCATTTCTCTTTTTATATTTTTGTACATTTATCTCGATTTCCATTATACCATACCTTTATATCGTTGCGCTAGATATGTGATCGGTCGAATTGGGAATAACTTTAATCCCCAAGTGATTTGGAAGCTAACGAGGCAAGCCTACATTTGCTATACTATGCGTTAAATTCGAGTGATCATGGGTGAAAGTTGAAAGAATGCATCGGGAAATGTGTATTAAGCATACATCGTGTTGCTCCTATCTAATGCTGTTAATCGTGAATGATTCGTACTTATTCTTTATCTTAAATTTATGCGTGCGATGGTCTCCGTTACAAATCTTAAATCTTTCTTGTCTTTCAAATTTCGATATTCGTTCTTTTATTATATCTTTCGTGCCTTTGAAAATATTAGAAGATCAATCAGATTGTTATCAGAAATATCGTCGCGACGACGATCGTCAAATCGGATAGAAAGTTTAAGCAACGATTCGGTCACACGTCGAATACATAATCTCACGTGAGCTTTCACTTTCAGAAGCAGTTCAAATACAAGAACCTAGAGAAGCTGTTCACAATTTACCAGAGGAAGCTTCAGTATGGTTATCTGTCACTCTTCGTTCTCCTACAATTGGCTCTCGGAATCACATATTGTTTGATTTTAATCACAATGGTAAGCGAAACAGAACGTGAAACAATAAGGAGCTCTACTTCGAACTGCATAGATATCTAGTTGAAATCGAAGAACCTTTCGCCATGGAGCACATATCCCATTAATTAAAATTTCTTCTCTCGTGTGATAAGAGTCACGATAATTATATTACTACGATAACGTAATGCGATAATCACACCATCGTATGTGAAGAATTTTGTGAATTATTTTAAATTATACTCCAACGAACAGATAATTTTTCTTTGATCTATTTACCAAAAATTAACAACAGAAACAATATCTTACCAACTAAAAATAATTGGATACTTTCCATTTTTAACTTTCCATATATTCAGTTTTTCCTATTCTTTGTAAAACAAAAACGGAATAAATGAACAATGAAATTCATCTGATTGGACTTTCTATTTTAACTTTTACTTGGAGTATCACACACGTGGTGCAATTGTAATTATTTTTGGTGACAATCGCAATTCTTAGCGAATGGATAAGAAACAGCTGGTCATTTTGCTTCTATTAATAGAAGCTGAATGGAATCAGGACACTGTGTACATTCAAATTATTAGTACGCTGCATAAGGATATTTTGATGTAGTCAAAAAATATAACGTTAAATGTTCATAGAGCGAGAGGTAGAAAAGAAGAAATATTGAATGTGTTCTACTTTTTCGTAGGTCAGCATAGAGAATTGTATACCGGATGTGGTGGTCTACAGCATAGTGAGCGCGTTACTCTGCCCGGTGATAGCGCTTTCGTTCAGGTCGGAGATTATCACCAGGAATACTTATCTGCCGGTCATGTTGTCCTGCTTGATCGTAGTGCTGCTGGTAATCGGTGACTTGGCTGTTCCCTTATACTACGCCCACAGCGACAACATACCACCGATAAGGTAACAGCGATAAGAAAACGGGGAAGTTCTTGGCTAATCGTGACAAGGCCACCGTTTAATTATCATCGGCAACCTTCACCAGGCTCTCTCTCGTATAACCTGTGCTTCGTTACTTACTTCCTCGAGTTACGAAAGATTGACAAACCACTCATCGATATTAATCTGATCGGTTGCGTGAACTATTTTGTAACAGGTTTCGTGGGATATTTCCCTAGACGATCGTTTCTTACTTACCTTTAAACTGCCGGTAAAATCTAATTATTTCTTTTCTTTTTTAAATAGATGCCCCAGAATAGATAAGGCAGCTTAGCGTATCATAAGTCGTTATCTTTCATTATTCCAGTGAGACTCAGTTAATGAATTTGTTGAATCGTGATAATTTTATCGTTTATTTCATTTTCTTCTTTTCTACTTTCAATTTCCCCTTTTTCCACCTTTCTGATGAAATGTAACAGAGTGCTATTAGCCGGTACCAGGATTAAACTAATGTATAATTGTCATTAGCAAATAGTTTAGTAATCGGTTAATCGCAAATTGTTTTACCTTCTGTTTTAATGAAATTACAAACTTACGGTCGTGTCTATATACATATGTGTAATTGCGTTTATTCTTTTGCAGGCCTGCATACGCAACTCATGCGCTTCTGGCGTGTTACGTCTTCCTACCTCTCACGAAAAAACTGCATGCTCTTATACTCGGGGTCACGGCTACCATATGTTACCTAGCTACTCTCTCGCTAATTACTTATAGAAACACATTCGATTACACTTCAAAGGTAAAATCTCGCTATGTTTGCTATTTGTTCACGTGGAATTCTTGTAAATCAACAGATTAAATATGTCTCCAACCAGTAGGCTATTCGAAATAATTAGAAAACCAACTGACCAAATGAATTTATCTTTTCAATATATAATTCGTGAACAAAAATGACGAATGTAAGATAGAAGAAGTTATATCTTTAATTGAATTATTTTGTAGAAGCATCAGCAAATTTGCGATGTTCTTTAATTTGATTTATGAATCTTTCAGATCATTACAGACACGATATACTTTGTTTGCGTGAATTGTCTGGGGCTATACTTCAGATTCATGAATGAAATCGTTATCAGACGATCGTTTCTCGACCACCGGAAGTGCGTAGAATCGACCTTGAGATTAAATTATGAGAAAGATCAAGAAGTATGTTTCCTTTTGTATTTCTTAGGACATTATAAAAGCATTCTAAAAAAAGAAAATTTTAATTTATAGGAACAACTCACAAGGAGTTTACTGCCTCAACATATTGCTGCACAGATAAAGGAAAAGTTTAGAGATATTTTTAGGTTTATAGAGCAAAATAAGAAACCTCCAACCAAAGGACGACCTCATAGGTATTCTTATTCTCGTGATAATTAAATATTTTTAATTTGAAAGATATAGAATTATAACGTAAGCATTGCCTATTGATTTCCAGTGATTTATGGATCGAAACTCATAACGACGTAAGCATTTTATATGCTGACGTGGTGAATTTTTCTGGATTGACTGTGACACTGCCAGTACGAAAACTAGTAGAAACATTGAATGATTTGTTTGGTAGTTTTGACGAGGCTTCCGAAAGGCACCATGTTCTTCGTATTAAATTCCTGGGTGACTGTTACTATTGCGTGAGTGGAGTACCAACTCCGAATTCGCAACATGCGAAAAACTGTGTGGATTTAGGTAAATACATTTCGAAATATATATCTAGCCTTTGCATTTTCGCTTATGTAATTAGAAATTCAATTCAACTGGATTGTAGGACTTGATATGATAAAGATCATTCGAGATGTAAGAGCAAGAGTACGACGCGAAAGCGGTGTGGATGTAAATATGAGAATAGGAGTTCACTCTGGCAACATAATATCGGGGATTCTGGGTGCCAACAAATGGCAATATGATGTTTGGTCACGCGATGTCGTTATAGCTAATAAAATGGAACAAACAGGAAAACCCGGTAAAGTTCACATTACGCAACAAACTTTGGATCTTGTAAATGCTAGCGAGTACGATTGCGTCCCGGTGGAGTCCTTAAACGATGAAGTTCTCAAAAAGTACGGAATTCGAAGTTACCTAATCACACCTTCGACTCCTGACACGCCTCCTATGCAGGTATGTATTTCCTGGTGGCGTGGGAAGCCGATGATAAGTGAAAATGAAAAATTATTTATTTAATAACGTTCGAGCAATTCCTACACCACTGACACATTTTCTTAACCGTTAAACGAACTTTCGTCGAGTATTTCAAATCGTTGACAGGCGAACCTTGTTGCAGAACAGCGAGAACACCTTGACAGTCATGACACCGAACGCCTCTCCGGTGCCTAACAAGCATTATGTGAAATTTTATCCATCCATCAGTGTGAATTCCGGCTCAAGAAATACTAGACGGCTTACTGCTACTATAAATAATCAAGTTGACGTGTACGCCAGCCCTTGCAGACGGCGCACACACTTTATGGACTCTTGTTTGCGGGATTATCATTTGATGCTCAGAACCGCAGATGCAGAAATGGAATATGCTATTAACAAAATGCCTCTCACTAAGTGGGAGTAAGTACAGTCTCTGGCTCATTCATTCTGACATCTTCTAATATAAAGTACAAGAGGATAAATTTTTGGGTACTTCTTTAGGCAATGGTGCGAATGGAAAGACATAAATCCATTATTTTTAACATTTCAACAGTGGAATTGGGAAATACCGTTTTTGAAGGAACCTGATCCACTTTTTAAATTTTATATTAGTTCCGCTGTCTTTGTCCTGATTTTTATGGGACTTATTTCCCTGGTACCTACACTTTCTCTTTCCAAGTATGTTTTCTTTATAAGAATGTTTATTAATAATATCAAAAGTAGAACTGTTTACAATGCATAATTAATTTCCAGATGGCATTTGAGCACAACAATTACTTATGCAGCCTCAATATTATTTTTAATCGCTTTAATGCCAATAGCTTGGATGCATTTCGCGTGGAAGCGATATAAAGATCCACACGATGAACACGAAGGGCAGGTTCCAGGCCCTGCCAATAAATTATTATGTTTTTTATATCAAACCAGCATAAAGGTTTCAATTTTTATATAATTTTTTATATGAATTTCATATTACACAACGCTAGTTTTTAAACCATATTTTAGGTTGTTTGGAGTGCATTTCTCAGAGCAGTCCTATACTTGGTAATCACGATAATGTTAGCAGCGTGTGCCATGTTTGACATGATTGTAAGTTAATAATAAACAAAAGTGCTACATTAAATATGATATTATTAATTAATTTGTTACCTCACTATGCAATTTTAGTTTGAATGTCAAACTAATGAAAATGTCAAATTAATCAATGTGAATGAGCTTACAAGCAATAATAGAACATCTAGCGTATTGGAAACTGGCGCCTCGAAACTTGAATGCGTAGCTACACCTTGGGTAAGATTGTTTAGTAGGTACTTGTATGCTGTAGATTCTCCTTTAGTTTAATTTCTTTAAATATTAAACAACATGTTTAATTGCATCCAATGATTGTTTTTAGCAAATGACACAAACTTGCTCCTTGGCAATTCTAACAAGCTTTCTGTTTTTGAGACTCCATTATATTTTAAAATTAGTAATAGGCATCGCGGTGGTAGCATTTTATTCGTGGAATGTTTGGATATATCGTTCAAATTTATTTCAGGTAATTCTAATCAATAATATTAATTTCTATCGATAAATTTATCGGTAAATATTTATTATAATTTTTTTATTTTTTATTTCTTTTCACAGTCAAGTGAAAGCTGGAATCCACATTTAGAACCGAGACTGGCTCATGTTTTAAGTGTAGTTTTCCTTACCTTTTCTTTGCATCTAATTGATCGTCAGGTGAGGGTGCTTCAATTAGCAGATTCATTATTTCTTTAATAATACATTGTTTATACATATTAAGTCGAATAAAAATTTATTCAGGCAGAATACTTGAGCAGATTAGACTATCTTTGGAAACGTCAATTGACCAAAGAGCAAGATGAAGCATTTCATACAAGAAATGCTAATAAAATTCTGCTTCGCAATATTTTACCAGAACATGTTGGTATGTCAATCTTTAAGTAACATTGCAATTAAATAAATTGAAAGCATAAATATGTTACATATAAATTGTTTACAGCGGAGTTCTACCTGAATGTGAATAGAACAGAAGAAATGGAACCTTATCACGAAGCGCATAATAATGTAGCCGTCATGTTTGCATCATTAACAGACGTATCCATTGATGAAAGCAATACTTTGGCAAATCTAAATGAGATCATATGCGAATTTGATAAATTATTATTTGACCCTTCCTTTATCTGTCGAATTGAAAAAATCAAAATTGCTGGTAAATAATTAATATAAATAAAATTTTTGTAAACGTGTTATGTAATCATAATGAAAATAACGTTATAATTATTTCAGGTACCACCTACATGGCAGCTTGTGGATTAGAAGCTAGTCGACGCGATTCAATGCGTAGTGCAGAAAATGACAAAAATGTGAGTGACAATGTAGTAAAAGTGATGACACAATTTGCGGTCGAAATGATAGCAGTTCTAGATAGGTTGAAAGCGAAATCGGTTAACGCATCAAAACCTTATAGGTATGAATTTATATTATATATAGTACTTGAACTATTTATAAAAATAAAATAATATTTTAGATTAAGGATTGGAATATCACATGGTGAAGTAACAGCAGGAGTAGTAGGCGCCCAGAAGCCATTGTATGATATTTGGGGAGATGCTGTGAACATGGCATCAAGAATGGATACAACAGGTGTTCCAGGAAAAATACAGGTTCAATTAAAATTACGTTTCCTTTCTCTTTAAAAATTTTTTATTTTATATATAAATCATATTCATTATATGTACGCAGGTTACAGCAGAAACTGCTGCTGTTCTTGAACAACAGCAAGTCAAATGCTACCTTCGAGGAAATACGTACGTCAAACCAAAAGGATTTGTTACAACTTATTTTGTTGGCATTGACGATAAACGAAAACTTCAAAGAATGGATGTTATTGAAGAGACCAGTCTGTGATTGAAACGATAAATCGATGTTTAATCAGTTATTGCGATCGTTATAATCTAACTGTGTGAAAAGTGAAATATTAGGTGTTTAAGTGAACATGTAGGCGGACGGAAGAGAAACCAAAGAAAATTTGAAAGACCAAAGAATCGAGAAAAAGAAACACGGTTCACAACTACATCACTATGTGGAATACTTCAACTTATTTAATCAAGTTTACATGTGAGATATACTTACAATCATACATCGTGAGCCCGATTATTAACCGAGTAAGACGCATTAGTAATCATGCTACAAACTAAAAAAACAAATTTTAGTAATTTCTTTTTACATAGGAAAATTGAAGATGATTTCATATGATCAGTATACGTGTAAGAACGACTTTATACGTAACAATGTGCATTTAAAATATCTTTTATTGGCGGTTTCCAATTTGTAAAGGTATTAGTTCACATAAAAGATGTGATTTTACCTAAAAATGTATTGTAATTATTGTACATCATTTCTTTCGACGACTTGAAATATTTATATTGTAAATAAGCAAAATGACTTTTAAATGATAATGTTTAAAAAACGTTGCTTTAAACAATGCACAATCCATTGAAAGTATAATATCCTATCATTGATGATAAAAGTACTTCCAAGAGTGATTTTTTGCAAATGACAATTCGATATATAAAGCGATTAGAAGGATAATCAAAAGGAATATAACATTTTATTTATATCGATGCGTGCGAATGATAATGAAGTTTAGCAGCTATATGTTAAATGTACATACAATGTACCCTGTCCAATTAACAAAGAGATAGCTAGTTTGAAATATTTATTGACGTAGGTCTTTCCAGGATCATGACAATAGGCGAATGTTTTGAAAATTAATGTACGAACACATTTTCATAATGTTTAATGTACAACAAACAATTTAATAATCGAGGATGCTCACAAATTTCAAAACTTAGCCTTGAAATACCTGGACTATTTAAAATTTTTTCGCTTATGTTGAGCAACAAATTTTCGTTTAAATAGGTTTATTTGATCATACCACAGTTTAATTTAACATATATTAGTTTTTTTCCATGGCATAGCTTACATAAGTATTTTATATAAATTGTTTATAATTCATTGAACAAATCGAAATAGAATTTTTGTTATATGAAGATTATTGTTCTTCAAATCTTAATATTTGACAAATATTTTATTTTAATAAATAAGTAAATTAATTAACATAAATCCGCCCTATACCGTAAATTCTAAACAATGAGGGATCCGTATTTAATCGATAAGAAAAAATGATTCTTGTCACTAAATATCACTGCATTTCTACAGTCTTTAGAGATTATGTCCGAATCATTATGTTTGTTTCAAAAATTTTTTGAGCACAACAAATGCGACACTTTTTAAATATATTTTTTCTTAATTTATTAACCATACATTTTATAAACTACAATCCTCATCCTGATCATAAGTAGAATTACAAATTTATTTTTTTATCAACTGTATTATTGACGTGATAAACGCTGATTTATTTCTTTGTAAATACTTTTGTACATATTTTTTAAATGTTAAAACTAATGACCAAGGTGATTTAAATGAAGTATTTATTATTGTGCACGAGATGTAAACATAGTTTATAAACGAAGAAATATGAAAGATCATTGTAATAAATTGTCTGTACAATCTAATAAAAACCTTATAATACTTACAATTCATTTTTTTTTTTTAATTCATTACTCTGTTATAATATTTCATGATCTTAAAACAATACTTTCCAAAATTTGTCTAGTCTATCGAAAATATATCGAAAAAGACCTTCTAATAAATAACATTACTTATAGCAACACATTATGTGAAAATTATATGAAAATTCACATTATGTATAGAAAACATTGTGTAAAAAAGTTTACAAGTATTACGTGGCATTCAATAATCATATGCATATATTCCTAACAATTTGTTTTCTTATATAAATCATAATTATGCCATGACCATTTTTCAGCAAATGGCAACGAAGATGGTTTCACATGCGTAATGGCCTCGTTTTTCGATCGGGAGAGGCGTTTATTTATCTCGACACGGTTCGTGTGTAGAACTACGTGTACGTCGTGACAAACGGTGACGACTATATTCATTCAGACTTGCTTAGGCTTTATCGATTTACACGAAGTTTTAGAGCTTCACATAGTGAACTTGGTTTATTTCGAGTAATAACGCAAAGGTCGATGTGTGAAGACTTTGCAAGAGAAATCGCTAATTTTTTGACGGTAACCGTATGAGTCATCTTACAAACTGATCGTTCTGCTGGTCATTTTGTTGACAGCGGTGAGACAAGAGTAGATAATAATTCTTTACTGTTTTTGACGTTTAAATTGTCATTATATACTTTGTTTTCGTAATCTTTCCGTAAACACGAACTTTTTATTTTACGTGTCAAAAATCGAGTAGAAGACTAATTGATCTCAAGATTTTTAGTACAAACAGTATCATTTTCAAATCTAGTGTACCTAGAGTACATGAAAAAATTACAAAAGTGATTTTTATTGTAAATTACTATCTTAATGTTTTAATCAATGAGCGAATAACCTCTAAGAAGGAGGTTACTGTCACGATATAGGGAATAATATTTCAATACTTCTAACCTTGTTTAAATAACACAAAAGTCAACATGGATATTGGATTTTCATCATATCACAATGGTGGGCCTGCAAGGGAACAAGATTTTGGTAGATTGTCTCAAACTATTGGAACATCAATTTTGAAGATATCTCAAAATGGTAATTATGTAAATTCGATCCATCATAATATATATTTAATACTAATTTTATTTTTTATTTGATAGTATCTTCTATGCAAAAGATGGTCAATCAGTTGGGTAGCTCCACCGATTCTCAGGAGCTACGAAATCAGCTGTAAGATTTCATTTATTAATATTAAAGATGAATATATATTTTATATAAATCATTATTATATAAACATTACAGGCATCAAATCCAACATTACACACAACAGCTGGCAAAAGATACTAGTGTACATCTTCGAGATTTAGCTATATTGGCTAATAATTCAGGATCTACTAGTCCTGGTGAACAAAGACAACGTAAAATGCAAAGAGAACGTTTACAAGATGAATTTACAAGTGCATTAAATTCTTTTCAAGTATGCTTATAAACACATTTCATTTACCAATGCCATACATATCTTTCTATATAAATTTATATGTAAATTAAATTATTTAGGCAGTGCAAAGGCTTGCAGCCTCCAAAGAGAAAGAAATGGTTAGGAAAGCCAAAGCAAGTGCAGGTATTACTCCATTTGGGGAAAAGAAACAAGAAACATTAATAGAGTTACAAGATAGTAGAACTCAAAAGCAAATACAACAACAGCAGTTAAAAGAAGAACAAAACTTACGAATGTTGGAAGAGCAGGAAGCTAGTATAAGACAATTGGAGGTAAATTTCTTTATTTTAACAATATCTTGTCAATTTTTCACATTGGTATTATAACAATTATCTTTACAGAGTAATATTAATGATATCAATCAAATTTTCAAAGATCTTGGTGCTTTAGTATATAGTCAAGGAGAAGTCATTGATTCCATAGAGGCTTCTGTTGAAAGGACAGAAGTATCTGTCAGTGAAGCTACTTCACATGTAAGACAAGCAAGTATATATAAAAATAAACTACGCAAGAAAAAATGCATACTCCTTCTTATTGGAGCAGTTATACTGTCTATATTAATTGCAATCATAGTTTGGCAAAGCTCTTAAAATGCTTTATGACATAAATGAGACCATAAGGACATAACAACATCTTAATTGCAAGGTACCATACTTGATGTATTTTCTGAAAAAGCTCCTAATTTAATGAAAGTTGCTTTATGAATACATGAGAGGTGTAGTACTATCAATGGAAATGAACGTAATGGAAAAAACTTGCATCGTACTGTATCTTATAACATTCTTATAATTGTGATAATAAATGGTGCAAGATCTATTTTACAAATAACATGTGCAATGGCAAGTCTAAGACTGCCCAGTCCATTTGTACGTTTCATTACTCATTATGTAATATTAGTACATAAATACACCTATAAAAAGTATATAAATATATACATATACATAGATCTATTCATAGCATAGTCGTGATTAATATCTCACATAATTTTATGAAATATGTTAAAAGAATAAGAGATTCATTCTAAACGATGCCAGTGTGCATTTTAAAAAGTGAATCTTGCATGAATTGTATGGATCAATGTAGAGTGAATGCATCAATATAATCATTGTATAGTATGTAAGTTTCGGACGTCCGATAAAAATTATTCTTATCTGCAAACATCAAGATGAAGAATAGATACGGATATTATGAAATAGTATATGAATGGAAAATCAATGTAAGCAAATGTATTATATTTAAGAATGTTGATTTATTTTAACCAAAATGTAATAAACCATATAAAATGAATTACATATGTCAAATTTAAATAAAATGTCTGTTATAATGTTAGAGTTTAATGATTATTAAATTATTTTAAGAAAAATTTTATTATGCTCTATTAATGTAATATTAAAAATATATGTTAAATTTTCTTATATAATTAAAAATTTATTTGAATTTGTAGTCTATATTATTTTACATATATCAAAACTAATTATATATAAACAGTAAGAATTTAAATAAAATACGCGCCATATCATTTTGTATCGAAATATACTGCGATCCATCGATTAAGAAGCAGCTTATTTGTAAGTAGAATATACCACCTGTGTTTCCAACAGTTATCTTTGTATCGTTTGACAGTTTAGTTTCGTGTTCGATCAAGATGAAATTGCATTAGTTTTGTTTAAAAATACGTTTATACTAATGAATAAAAAACATCAAAATTATAACGTACTGAATGAGAGTTTTAATAATATAATGTTGAAACACATTTTTATTGTAACTGCGATTATAATAATATGTTTGTCAGAATCTGAGGTTAGAATATTAGTTTCTAAAATAATAAAGACTAATTACTGTAGTATATAATTTATTCAAACGATTGTAGGCGCAATATGATGACAAACGATGTAAATGCATTTGTCCAAGTCTTCCTTCCGTTATAAATACCACTCAATCGTCCTCGGAACGGAAAACTTATATTATAAATGTTCCACCTTCTGAATGGTAATTGAAATTTATAGTACTTAATTAAGAAATTTAATCCCACATATGTAACACGTGTAAATTGGAATTGATATATAATTTCATTTAAATTTTAATCCACAGTAAGTGTGAAAATGTTGTTTTGTCCAAAGTGGGGGATCAGTTGAAAGGTAAAGAAGAAATCTTTTGTTCACGATGTGATTGCAAATATGAAAATAGGAACACCACTATTATTAAAGTAAGTATTTTATTACTTTTAATTTAATAGAAAGTTTATGAAGTAATTTGTGTTTTCAGATAGTGGTAATACTTGTTATTTGGGTTATATCTTTGTTGGTAATTTATATGTTATTTTTAATTTGTTTGGATCCATTGTTGAACAAAAGAATCCATAAAGCTTCAACAAATATTGGTTACCATGAACACAACAATGAAGAGGTATATTAATATAATTTATATTAAAATAGTAAATGCTAAGTTTGATAAATGATAACCATTTACACTATTTAAACCATTCTTTGTTTTGATAGGATGATTCCTCAACAGCTCCTGGAACATTTCATGCCATGGGTGAAAGAGGTAATGTTTTAAATCGTGTTGGCCATCAACAAGATAAATGGAAACGTCAAGTTCGTGAGCAGAGACGTAATATTTATGATCGACATACTATGCTTAATTAAAGTGTATAGTTTTGTTTATAGAAAGAATTAAATATAATAAATAACAATACAAGAGCTGTGATATTTATTTGATGGCATTTACAGTTCTGTATATAACTTTTTCAGATTATCTTACATGTAAATAAGGTAAATTAATTATATGAAATAATGGGAAAGAAATAATTAACTTATTTGTAAATGCTAACAAATCAGATCACAGATACTATGTTAACATTGAATCAAATATACATGTAGTAATTTTCACATTTTTTAAGTCTAACACATGGAATAATAAAGTATTAAAATGCATTATTTTTATTGGTAAGTGCATATAAATTTTTATGAAATATTTGTCTAAAAATAAATTCAAATATTTTACATGGCATATTTGTGGATTTTTACACAGATAAGTATGATAATAATTTACATTAATAAATTTAACATATGCAGTTACTGTTTGCATATTACAAATAATCAAAAATATTTCAAATTAATTTATTTAATATACAGTCAATTTTTGGCAAAATCAACAAAATTCTTCTTGTTTAAATTAATTTACAATCATTTAAAATTTTAATATTGGAAATGAGTTAATATTACTTAGGTACTGTAGATGAGTCTTTATCTTGTAACACTTCTTCAATTATCTCTTTAATTGAATCATATAATGTTAAAACTAATGCTCCACCAGTACCTCTAAGAATATTTGAAAGTGAACCTTTAAAAAAGGCTCCAACACCTTCTGCTTTAGCTGTTTTAATCCAACAATCCAATGTATTTTTATACATGATATCTGCTTTGCTAAGCCCTGATTGCATCATCATTCGTCTTCTAACTGTATCAAAAGGATATGATATAACTCCAGCTGTAGTGGTTACAGCCTATAAATAATATAATGCATAAAAATTTGAAAATAGTCTTGAATTAGTAAATAACAACGTACTTGTGCAATTATAAATGTAATATGTATAGGGGTGTTTTTTGGATCAGGAAGCATGCTTTTCATGGTGTCATAAAAACCAAAATATGCTGCTCTGTAAATAATAATCCCTTGAACACTCACATTGAAACCTCGATATAAACCAAAAAGACCATCTGTCTTGAAAATTTTTACTATACAATCTGCCAAACCTTTGAACTCTCTTTGATCCGCTTTTCCAATATCTGCAGCTAATCTATGAAAAACATTATTATAATTACATTATTTAATATAAAAAAAATAAGCATATTACCTTGTCCGAGCAAAATCAAGTGGATAGACAAATAAAAGAGAGGTTGCTCCAGCAGCCCCACCAGAAGCCAAATTTCCAGCAAATTGTTTCCAAAATGCCTCTTTTGGAACACCTTCCAAAAACAAGGTTTTGAATTTGTCTTTAAATGCAAAATTTAAAGCTTGAGTTGGAAAGTATCGAATTACATTAGCTAGATTCCCTCTCCAAAAACTAAGAATGCCAGTTTCCTTTGGTATGCGTACAAATGCATCCATCATGCCTAATACAATTAAAATCATACAAAAATATGGAAATATTATTTTAATTTACATTTGGAAACATACCCTTGTACCGATCTTCTGGGCTTATTTGTTTTGAAGTATGTTGAACTTGAAGTAATAACTTTACTCTTTCTAATGGTGCAACTGCAGTTTTTGAAACAGCTGCAGATATTCCACCAGCTAAAAAATCTACTAAAAATGTTTTGTATGTATCCATATCATAAATTTTTAAGACATATATGTATCTCCAAACATAAATTTCAGTTTATACAGATAAAATTTGTTTAAATTAAAAATCATGTTAATGTAATTTTATAGATCAATTGCTTTTATATGTTTATCTTTACATAAAACATATCTCCAACACATTGAAAACATAGAAACTTTTATAAATAAATGTTAACCCACATCTGACACGAGCTTTTTTATAACGGTTTAGTTTGTAACTTCTATTGTTTTTTGTTTTTGTTTTTAGCTTATAATAATAGGATGAGTAAATGAATACACCAGAAATTTGATTTTAACGTTTAATCGCTTCACAAAATTGAATTTCTTTTCATTAATGTAAGGCGTTAAATTGGTCACACAAATTTTGTCATCAAAGCTCTCAATCCGTTTCAAGAACTGTGATTATCATTTTTTTTGTATAAAGAGTTTTAGATCACAGTAAATTCTAGCTAAAATCGACGCAAAATATATTAATATATCTTTAAATGAAGATAGAATGTATAACTAAATATCAAGTAAAGATTTCAAATTTCAGGGACTAGATGGTTACTTAACATCAAACCACAGTGAACAAGTGTTAAATATTAGCACTTTCAATTCTAAAATGCTCATACCCGTTAATTATATGAATACAGTTGAAAGGTACATATAGCATATTTCGAGGAATGTTTCGGCACATAGTGGCAAAGTTATATATGTATGGACAAAATGGGACCATCTTTGGTCAATATGAAATTCAAAAAGATATATTTGCATTTGTTTGTTTCCTCTTCTAAGTGCATAAAAAACTAATTTAAAAAATAATAAACGTAAAATTTTAGTACAAGTTTAACTTATAGTACACGAAAATAAAAATTTTACTATAATGAGCCTTCAATATGGATTAAATAAAATACACATTCACTGCCTGTACAACTTAGGCATTCATTGTAATCTATTAGACGTCATTAAAGTGATAAAATACGAATATTGTGCGAATATGTTCACAATTTATAATCTATTTTCGAAAATGTATACCAAGTTGAATATATTTCTTTTGAAAATATCCATTCAAAATTGGTACTAGTCGAAAGTGATTTGTTATCTTTAATTGATTGGCAGTGAAAATATTGAATTTTTTATCCAACAAAATGTTATTAAAATTAAAACTTATAGGTTGACTCTAATATGCAAAAGCATATTAAAATAAACGTGTATATCAAAGACTCGTTAAATACTTAGTTGTACGAGTATGAATGTGGTCAGTAAGTATTTGTAACTCTTGTCCCATTCGATTAAGCCGCATGAACAGACTGAAAAAAAATAAATAAATTATAATTAATATTGCTTCTATCAGTATATTTAAAATACTGGTTTCGATGATTAAATGTACCTTTGCAATGTCCACGCCTGTTAAATTCTTAACTAATTCTGGTACACGGGTTACAATATTAAACACTTCTTCAGTTAGTTTTTCTGCTCCGATCGTTCCATTTCCACTAGAAACCATCGTTATTTTCTTCGCTTGTGACAAAGGTGCTGCGACTTCAGCTGCAACCTGTAAAATGTAAGATGTGAAAGGTATTTATATCATTTAATTAAAAGAAACATAAAAATTAACATATACATTTTTCTTCAATTACCTTTGGAAGGGTATCCAACATCATATCTATCATAGCAGCATTATTATATTCATTCCACGCGGCAGCTTTTTTTGCCATTTGTTTTGCTTCTGCTTTAGCCTTTGCATCGATAGCAAAGGCTTCTGCATCGCCACGAATTTTGATGGCTTCTGCTTCGGCTTCAGCTTCCATTACTAGGCGCATTTTGTTAGCTTCTGCCATTTTTTCTAATCTGTGAATAAAATATTTGTTAATATATATTTATTAATTTTTTGTAATATTTAATTTACCTATATTGTTCTGCATCAGCTGGTCGCCGTACAGTTGCATCTAATTCTCGTTCGCGTCTCATCATTTCTTGTTCTTGTACAGCAATTTCTTGTCCACGTTCAACTACTTTTATTTGCATTTGTTCTTCCATAATTCTTTGCTTAGTTTTTGCAGCTTGCAGTTCAAATGCCATTTCAGCTTCTGCTTTCTATAATTGACATATCATTCATAATAGAAATTAGTGAAAAAAAAAGAATTTAGAGTATAGTATTTATTTAGACAATAACAAAAATAAAAAGAATTTACTTTGGTTTGCACTTCAACATCATATGCGGCTTTCTTTAGTTCAAAATCGCGTTGTGCTTTAGCAATTTCGGTATCATTGAGAAAACGAGCTGCCATTCTTTGTTCTTCAGCGATTGCTTCGCGAATTTGTGCATCTCTACGAGCTTCTGCCTCACCAATTCTTGCATCGCGTTTTACTTCAGCAGTTCGTGCCATTCCGAGAGCTTTCAGATATCCCTATAAATTATATACAAACGTTTAATATAATACAATTATTAATGCTATATCTTCATTATGAATTTAGAATAATAACATTAATTTTAGCAGTTACTTTAAATTCAACCTGAATTACATAAAGGCAGCATACAATAAAAATATTACACATATTTGAAACACAGAAATTTACAAATGTATATAAAGTATTTGTGCTACCATTGAAGCAAGCACTTGAGATTTGCTCTAATTCTCTGTTACTTGAATATTAATGATTTGTACTAATATCGTTTGAACAGCAGTGCAATGGCATTATATGTAGTGATAAAACAGAATTTGAACATACCTTTGCCCCCTGCAAGTAGCAAAACAAAAATGTATTCAATTTACAATATACAAGAATTGGACTACATTAACTCATTAATAAAAAATTACTTATACATATTATATAATCATTTAAAGGGGGACTTTTGATATAAAAGAGACTTTATGTATTTATATATATCATATTCTAATATTTTCAGATTTGTGTACTTTTTGTATAAAAATTCTTCCTATATTCTTCAACAAAAATCAAATGTTGTTTAATAAACGAAAAGGATTAACTTACTTCCTCATCTCGGATATCTTTTAATGTATATGATACAACAGTAATGCCCATATTGACTAGATCACTGCTTGCAACTTCAAAAACTTCTTTGCTGAATTTTTTACGATCCTTATATATCTCCTATAATGTAGAAGCAAAATAGATAAAATAAAATTAATATTTATTTTCATATAAGAATTGAGTTAAATGAATTTAATAACATGCTACTTATACCTCTACAGTCATGCTTCCCATTATTGCTCGTTGATGTCCTTCTAATGTTACAAGTGCAATATTATGAATTTCTTCTTCAGTTTTTCCAAGAAACTGTTCACATGCTGTGGATAACATTTCCTCATTTTGTCCTTGTATCTTGACCTTTGTATATGTATATAAATATTTCATAAATAAATTATTTATTTATATAGAAATATTTAATTGTATTACAAATGAATGTTTTTTTATTACCTGTGCAATTCCAGTTACAGATATTGGTACACCTTGGCATGTATACACAGTTGGACTTTCTACTTGTAGAGTCATAGTATTTAATGAAATTCTGGAAAACATGAACTTTATTTTTAATAGAAGTTTACAATATTTATTCAATAACTTTTTCATACACAATATTAGAAGAAGATAAAAATACAATTATATAGAATCTAGACTCGTAATTTTATTTTATAAATTTACTTACTTTTGAACTTGTTGGACAATAGGCCAAACAAATACTCTACCTCCAGGTACTAGTAGAGGCTTGCTGTAGCAACAACCTAAAAAGATATGTGAAAGATAAAATACAAATCACTAAAGAAAAATTTTTATATATTACAGAATTATAGAATTTTATATTATAATTTATATCTTAATTTTAAAAAAAACATAAAAAAGATAAATATATAATTAAATTATACAATACAGCACAGCAAGGGACATGTAAAATTAACCAAAAGTAATTAATGTAATGTGTAACGTAAAATTAATTTTTCTATCATACTACACACTAAATCTATCAAATCAATTAACTGACAAAGTACCTCTCCCATGTTAAATTGATATGACATGCAAAGAACGAGTAATATACGATAAAAATCAGTCTATATGATTACCTGACACTACGAGAGCCTCATTTGGGCCACAAGTAACGAATCCACAACTCATAATCGCAAATGTAAAGAAAAACAATAGTTAGAGCAAATTTAAAGAGATCGAATTTCGGCGTAATCCTTTTACAGTCAATTGACGTCGCTACAATGTCGTCATTCTGTGAGATCGTTTGAAGCTTATGCCAAGTTTACAATAAACGTTATAAATATGTACATGCTAACAAGGAGAGTGCAAGTCCTTCGGATCACTGATTTAGTTGGAACTTTATAGGTTTATAGACATCGTCATGCAGTTTAAGAAAATATATCATCATAGCCGCAACTACTCACTAATTTTTTAGATATTTACGATTAAAGTTTTATTACGTTTTTAACTACAGATTTATTTTCAATAGTTTTCAAATGGAATTGTGGCTTGACGTCGACATTCGAAAATTCCTATGCTGGAGGTTCGGGGTATGATTCCTGTCCATAGTTGGTAGTTTTTTTCCATCTATTTTTTATTTTGTATTTATTTTTCGCCTATAAAAATATTGTAAATAAACAATTGTAAATAAAATTTCTTAATAAAAAAATTTATTTTTTACGCTTTCTTATGCTAGTATATATTTATTACAAAATAATAAGAACATTATGCAAGAAAAACACTCTTCTATAGCAATCTTATGTACTACAGGAAATACAAAACTAATCGCTCATGTAAGTAATAATTATTAAATTAAATATTGTATAAGAATTTTGCCTATAATTCCAACTTTGCAGTGTAGCTATAAATGTTCATGAATTAATTACAAAAACTTGGAAATTTATTAATTTTCTATAGCCGAATTGATTTCTAGTATTTAGTTTGAATCAAAATTTTACCGCCTGCGATCAGCGCCATCTATGATTTTAGCTCATTTGCTCGGAAAAGTGATAGGAATATAGAATAGGCAAGGAGGTCGTCGTAGAGCTCGTCACGTGACAGACAAGGACAGAGAGGGGATAGAAAAGGATAGAATGGCTCCGGCAGTAAAAAATTATTAATTACTCCATTTCTGTAATTAATTTATGAACTTTTATAATTTCATTGCACAGCTGAAACTTCAAGCAACATTCTTATATAATATTCGTAAAGAATTTAACTCTAAATTGATAGTTATTAATTTTTGTTTTATGGCGTCTATGATTTCGTAACGGCGACCATCACGATCTTCCGTGAAAATATTTAATACTCAACGAAACTAGAAGCAAAATGTGAACAAAAGTTATATGAGAAGATTCGCAAGAACATTGCTTTTATAATGAATGCATAAAGTTTCATAAATTAATTGCGTAAAGGATAGTAATTAATGAAAAACCAATGGCGTCCTCGGCAATTTTCGACAATAATTCAAACACTGCGTAGAACAATTATTAATAATTAATTAATTAGAGACAAATTTACATCGAAAAATATATGTGAAAGTTCGTGAAGCATCTGGCTTTACGATGCAGTTATAAAAGTTCATAAATTATTCACGGATATTGAGTAATTAGTGAATTTTCCACTGCCGATTCGATTTATTAAAATATATTCGGAGTACATAACCAGAGTTAGTAAACTGATATCAGAGCCATCTATGAGTTTAGACTCGAAGCTAGAGTTTCGCAACGAGAGTATAGATGGCTCTGATATCAGTTTACTAACTCTGGTTATGTACTCCGAATATATTTTAATAAATCGAATCGGCAGTGGAAAATTCACTAATTACTCAATATCCGTGAATAATTTATGAACTTTTATAACTGCATCGTAAAGCCAGATGCTTCACGAACTTTCACATATATTTTTCGATGTAAATTTGTCTCTAATTAATTAATTATTAATAATTGTTCTACGCAGTGTTTGAATATTACAGAAATGGAGTAATTAATAATTTTTTACTGCCGGAGCCATTCTATCCTTTTCTATCCCCTCTCTGTCCTTGTCTGTCACGTGACGAGCTCTACGACGACCTCCTTGCCTATTCTATATTCCTATCACTTTTCCGAGCAAATGAGCTAAAATCATAGATGGCGCTGATCGCAGGCGGTAAAATTTTGATTCAAACTAAATACTAGAAATCAATTCGGCTATAGAAAATTAATAAATTTCCAAGTTTTTGTAATTAATTCATGAACATTTATAGCTACACTGCAAAGTTGGAATTATAGGCAACATTCTTATACAATATTTAATTTAATAATTATTACTTACATGAGCGATTAGTTTTGTATTTCCTGTATCTAATGATTATTTATATTTTCGTTTTCTTCTGTAGTAAATAAGATTGCTATAGAAAAATGTTTTTTTCGCATAATATTCTTATTATTTTGTAATAAATATATACTAGCATAAGAAAGCGTACGAAATAAATTTTTTTATTAAGAAATTTTATTTACAATTGTTCATTTACAATGCTTTTATAGATGAAAAATAAATACAAAATAAAAAATAGATGGAAAAAACTACTACTAATGTCGCCGTTAGACCACGACTGCATTTAGAAAGAAGTGGAAAGAAATCTATAATTACATTAGTAATAAAACTTTAATCGTAATTAAATTATTGAGTAGTTGCAGCTATAATGATATATATTCTTAACTGCATGACGAAATCTAGAAATCTAAAATTTCAACTAAATCGGTGACCTAAAGGACTTGCACTCTCCTTGTAAATTTTTTGATTTATATTAATGCTTCAAAAAGTATTTCAAAGTATTACTACATTTTATTCTAAATAATTATTTTTATAATATTGATTGAAGTTGATAAATAATAAATTCCATGATAATAACTCTCATTTTTTTATTTCTAAATTACAAATAATTTTAAAATCTTCTAAATTGTTTTTTAAATCTTTCATAATGATAGTCATCAGTTGCTTTTTCTCCGTTATCTTTCCTTTTTCCTTTGTAATCATCTCTAGGAGCAGTTACCTTTTTCTTGTCATCAGAATCTTGTTTTGATTTCTGGAAATCTGTATCTTCTATATTGACTAAAAAAAGACATGTTTACATATTACAATAGTTCATTTATAAGTTATATAAAATAAAAAATAAAATAAATAATGTACATCTATTGTGTTGTACAAAATTCACAGCCATGTTTGTTGGAACAAATTGTGAAGGACCATCTTTTTTTCTATGTCTATCCCAAAGTAATTTTAATTTAGCTTCTTCTGTAGCTTCAATATTACGAATTTTTGCTCTAAAAATGTAAAGGATTTACAAATGTAAAAAATATTACTTTACATGCAAACTGGTTAGGAAAGACAAGTGTATATTAGAAAATAACATACTCTATTCCAAGATCGACTTCTGGGATACCAGATAACATTTGATTTGAAAGCATTTCTTCACTTCTATGTGCAGAACTTTGTCTTAAATGTTCAGGTACTGCTTGCAAAGCTGCTTCTTCTGGTGAACAATAGGATCCTTTGTCATTATTTGGTCCATTTTCAGTTTTATCTTCATTTTTACTTTTCCTCTTTGATAATTCTTCCTCAATATATTTTACCCTAAAGAAAATTGAAATTATTAATTTACAAAACTAAAGTAATTAATTAGTTATATATACGTCAGAAAATATACATTTCTTCATCTTCATCTCGTTTATTAGTTTCTGCATTAAACTGTGTGCCAATTCCAGTTTCATATGCGTCATTTTGTTTTAACTTTGTATTTTTTAAAGCAGTCATGTTTACCATTCCTCCAGTTTTTACATTAAAAGGATCTGACTAAAAAAAAGAATTTTTTGAGAGTAATAATGTATATAATTTATTTATTAGTTGTAGCCCTACCGTCATTACGTCAGGTGTTATATTTTCTCCAAGTGCTAATCCAACCACATTTACACCTTTTGGTCGTTCACGAAGTTTTTGTATAATCTTCATCTCTTCTACTTTTTCCCTAAATGGATATGCATTTCTTATCATTTAGTTATAGCTTTATAATTAATATTTTTAAATAAAATAACTATTCTAGTTTCATTTATGATTAAACTATATAATTGCTACATTTCATATATTTGGATTTGTCATTTACCTAACAGATGTTTCTTCATTTTTGTCATCTTCATCTGATGAAACCTGTCGTTTTCTTACTGATTTTCTCGATCCCTTTTTGAATTTTATTTTATTTTCTTCTGTACTAGTCATCTATTTTAAAGTAAATATGTAATTGGAGAAAGAATTTATACTAATTTTATGTTTGTAATTATTTCTTTGTAAATATAAATTTATACTAATGACACAAGTCTTACATTATGTATATAAAATTATTTGTACTATAAATATAAACAAAGTCTGTTAATAAACATTAATACAGCGTAATATAATAGTTACAAATTAGTATATACTAAACACTGATACATTTTAATACTTCTGGACAGTTTACAAAACGTTCGTTGTATTCAACGTATGCGTTCCATAAAGTATAAATATATCAGATATGAAAGTTAGCAGAAAATACTTAAATACGTATTTCTTTTTCAAAATTCACGTGACAATTTCCTATCTAGAATATACTTTTTCTTCGATTGTGCTATGTATGAGAAGTACACGTGAATGCACATTGTGTCAATATAAATTGTCCTTTGATATTTTTTAAAGTAATGGAAAACTAAATTTAATCTAAATTTAAAGGTTTTCATACATTTTATCAACATGAAGAATAAACCATTTCGTCACAAAGAAACAAATACATTTCAGGTATGAAATATATATAAAAAGTTATTTTATGTAAAATATATTTTACGCTATATTTTTTGTTATAGTTTAAAACATTTTCTGAAAGAATAAATGAAATTGATGTCGATATATTTCACCGTGTTGCACATCGTAATGAAGAGAATGATGAAGAAGTTGAAACATATTTTCATCAAACACTCGAGAAATGGAATTTGCTTAACCTCACGGAAGGTTATTGCTGTTTCAAAAAGAAAGTTCGTGATATTGTAACACTTCCACAATTGGTTAATCAGAAACAATTTGTAATAGATACATTAATAGAATATTTAGAGAAGAAAGATGTTTTATTTTTGCAACCAATTTTAGAGTAAGTATTAAATGAAAAATTTATATGTTATTAATTAATATAACAAACAAAAATATAGATGAAGTAATTTTTTAACAAGTATATTTATGTAACTATCTTATTGCAGATTAGTTGTAGCTGTATGTAAAGATTTACAAAAGGATTTTTATGAATGTTTTCCTAGATTTTTAACTATCATTATTGATTTATTACAAACTAAAGATACAGAACAAATAGAGTATACATTTACATCATTAGCTTATTTATTTAAATTTTTATGGCGGTATCTAGTTAAAAATATAAAGACTATACTTAATCTATTGTTACCATTATTAGCAGATACTCAGCCAATTTATATAAATAATTTTGCAGCTGAAAGTTTTGCTTTTGTGGTACGCAAAATTAAAGATAAAGATTCCTTTTTAAATACAATATTACACATTTTGAAAAGTAATCCTAAAGGAATTCCTGGATGCGGTAAATTATTATTTGAAGTAATATCTGGTATACCAGGCCAATTTCACTCATGTGCAGAACAAATGCTTCTATTATACTTCAATGCATTGCATAATGAATTTCTAAATCAAAGTTTAATGTTTAAATTATTGGGAGAAATTATTAACTGTTTGCTACAAAGTATACATCCACAAAAATGTCATTTATTTTGGTCTGTATTGTTAAATGTTATGGATAAATCTATTGAGAAGACAAAACAATTCCAATTAACAACTGGCAGAGAGAAAAGTTTGATCCTTTTGATACAATTATTGAATATAATTATTACTTATAGAAATGGAAAAATGGTCATAGATCCTGTACCATTGATTAAGAAATTGGTACAGATTTTAGATATTTTTGAAAATGAGAATGATGTAATACAAGAAGTTATAAATGTATCTGTTGCTATTCTATTAGCAACCAATGTTAAATTAATGCAGGAAACTTCTAGTCAAATATTATTTAAAATTATGACTGTGAAAGATATTAAATTGTTATATGGTGCAGTTGAAAGTTTAATATATTATTCATCATTTGACATTTTAATATTGCCACATATAATAAATCATAGTATTTCTGTTGGTTTCAATGATGATATTTTACAATTATTTACCAAGATAATTAAAGTAAAAGCTCCTCTATGTCTTAATGGTATTAATTTACATAAGTGGATAAAATACATCTTGGATATACGGGGTGCAAAATTTGATACTATTAACTACTTCCAGACAGAGTTAAAAACTTTATTAGATAATAATGTATCACTAAATGCATTAAAAATATTAATTATTTTGCCACATCTGAAGCCTTTGCCAGAAGAATTAAAAGATACCTTAAAAAAAGGAATATTGTTATTATACAAGAGGATATTAAATAATACGAACACAGAGATGGAAATAAATAAATTATGTTTGATATTCTTAATCACTTTTGAATCAGCAATTCACATTTTGGAATTTGAAATTTTGCACAATTTTATGGAAGAGAATGATATAAAAATATTAGAACTCATTATTAAATATCCTGATAATAAATTTATTTTAAATACAGTAGATTTATGTTTAACATACTTTAGTGCATCACAGTACAGAGAGATGTACATAAATCAAATTGTTTTAGATAACTTAAATAGCAGTATTATACAAAAATTAAGTTCACCTTTCAGTGAAATTCGCCTAATAGTGACTCATTTATATTCTTTATTTTGCAATGTCAATGAAGTTAAATTATCAGTTACAAATGAGAAAATTGAAATAAATGCTATAGAACATATGTATTTAGCAGAATGTGAACTTGCAACTGTACAAAATTATCGAAGTAAATTATTACACCTACAAGCATTGTCACGTGAAAATAACACAGTAACAAATTTAAATTTGAAATATCATGAAATTCCACTACGATATTTATTAGGAAATCTATATATAAATTTTTCCCTGTTGTGGGAACCTGTAAGTAAAATTATAGCTACCTATGCTATCAAGGAATATGAACAGTTTTGGCCTATATTCTTAACTGAGTTAAAATGTGATCAGAAAGAAATTGTAGATTATAAACCATTATTTGAATGTAAAGTTATTTCTGAAATAGGAAATATAATACAAATAAGCAATGACAAACCAGACTATGAAAATCATAAAATTCTTATGTGGAAATGTATGATAAATTTTCCATATTTTTATGAGACAAAGAACAGAGATATAACAGGATTATTTATTGATTTTGTAAATGAACATTTTTTTAAGTCTAATTCAGAAGATGCCAACTGTTGTAACATCTCAAAAGTGCAAAAATCAACTGTTTCTAATAATAATATGAAAAGTGATGCAAAAAATGAGAGTGATAATGAATCTGAGGAAAATGAAGAAAATGAAGAAACTGAACAAGAAGAAAATGAAATTACAACTTCTATGAATACAAAATTAAAACAAATAGTTACAGAGTCTAAGCAAATAAGTAACTTTATAATGAGTAAAAACTATAAAGTGAAACTTTTAATTGCTCAACTTGAAATATTTGAAAAGATAACAAATCCAAAAACATTGTATAGAGAATCAGAGATTCGGAGAATTTATTTAGATTTACTATCATCAAAAAATTCTGATATTCAAAGGGCTGCTTTAAATTGTCTTCTCACTTATAAGTATAAATATTTGTTGCCTTACAAAGATAATTTGTTTAATTTAATTAATGAAAAAAATATGAAAAGTGAATTAATCTGCTTTAAAATCGATAAAGAAAGTAATATAATACAAAATGAACATCGTGATGAACTTATACCTATAGTGATGAGAATAGTTTACGCGAAAATGATTACAAAAGCAGGAATAGAAGATGATATTACGTTTTTTAACTGGAACTGAGGAAAATGAAATGATCATATTTACAGATATGGCATTTAAACCTTTCAAGAAATATATGCTGCCTGATTTAAATAAAACTAGCCATCAACAAATTAATTTAAGACAACTTACACAAAATATTATTAATACTGTAGATCTTAATAATGTTATTCCACCTAAGCGTTTGCAAAGTGCTACAAATTTACTTGCAATTTTAATAGAACAGTTTGGTAGTAAGATGGAGCAAAAATTATTACCTTACTTACTTAGTTTGGTAATATGTAATCTAGCAGAAGTAACTGGAATTTTACAGAAATCAAATGAGATTCATGTTGGTTACTTAAAATCTATTAAGAATGTAAGATCAAGTTGTATTTCAATATTAGCAAGATTCTTTAGTCATTTTGAAGACTATAAATGGAATGAATATGAAATAGATGCTTTATTTAATGTGGCTGTATTTCCATGGTTGGAAAAGTTACCTATGGAAGGTATACACAGTCCTACTCCATTATTAAAGCTGTTTATAGCATGGAGTAAAAACTCACGTTACTATCCCTTATTTATAAAACATCATAAGGATAGCAAATCTATTAGTTCCCTTCCATATATAATACAACTTTTATTAAATCCAAAAACTAATGCATCAGTAATTAATGCTATTTTTGAAATGCTTGAAAATATGGTAACATTGCAAGATTATGGAAAGGTAAATCAAAATGATATGGAAATTGATACAGCTTTTGTTCCTTTGATACCTATACTCAATAACTTACTTGAAATAAATGAGGATGTTTTATCTAATGGTATTAATTATGGGTCTACTATACTTCTTCCTCATGTGTTTAGTATTCTACAGTTTATTAAGAAGAAACTTGAAAACTCAAATAAGGGAATTGGTAAATCAGAACTTGTGATTTTATCACGTATTTCAGAGTTTGTGAAAGATGCAGATGCATGTGATATAGTTCTCACTCTTATTTTACCAATACTAATTAAAAAGAGTGGCGCTGGTGACGGAGAAGAAACGATTATTGAATTAATTACAACTGTAATAAATCTTATAAAACAAGTAAAGAAACCAACTACGCATATACGTGCAATTTTGCCTTTATTAGGTACAGTGTCCACAATTTCTGCTCGTAAACTGCTCTTAGAACTTTATAAAACTATTGTTGAAAAGTCTACTGCAGATTGTCGTGACACATTTGTAAAAAATTACAATTTAATAAGTTCACTTAACGCATATGATCGCAAATGGATCGATCAACCAGATTTTCAAAAAAGATTGGATGCTTTTTCTGAAATTCATAAAGGGATAGAAAAGAATCAAATTACATTGGATTTTGGTGTAGGAATTATTTATAATTGTTACTACTTTCTTAAAAATGAAACAGATTTAGCATTGAGAGATAATGCAGGTCAATTCCTTAAACTTCTTGGTTGTAAATTGGCAAAGGAACATAAAGAAAATATAACAGATAGACGTTATTTAATGGACAATACAATTTTACCACTTATAAGAAAAGGGATAACTAGCAAAATTGAAGTTGTAAGATTTCAATCAATAGCCTTTTTGGGACATTTGGCTATGGAATGTTCTGATGTTCATCCTATTTTACGAGATTTATCTTTATTAACTAACAAAGTAGATCCTGAAGTAGATTTCTTTGAAAATATGCAACATTTACAATTGCATAGGAGAGCTCGGGCATTGCTTAAATTTTGTAATGTAGCAAAAACATTGCAAAAGTCTTTTAATCCAAGAACATTAACACAGTTCATTCTTCCTCTTGCCTCTTCATATTTATGTAATGAAGCTTTTATACACAAAAATAGTATTATTGATGCAGCAATAGAAACAGTTGGAACTGTATGCAGACTTTTACCATGGCATCAATATGAGATTATTTTGAAACATTACTTAGAAAAACTAAGAAATTCTATTGAATTTCAAAAACAGCTTGTTAGAATTATTGTTATTATTTTAGATTCTTTTCATTTTGATTTATCAAAATATAAATCTGCAAACAAATCTTTAGAACTAAAATGCACTGAAGAAATTTTAGTAAAAGAAATAACTCCTAACGAAACAAAGCAAAAAGATGAAATTATTGATAGAGAAGTTGATAAAGAAAGTGATAAGAAGAATATGGAACAAGAAGCAGAAGAAAAATTAGATGAAATTCTAAATTCTGAAAATGTAGATAATATTGAAGAAATTGTAGAAAAAGTTCAAAAAGATACACAAGAAGAAGTACCTGTAATGGAAAAGCAAATAATTCTTTCACAGTCTGGAGCAGAGCGAATTGTTTTTAGTATATCCAAAGAATTATTACCTCAACTTCATCGTTCTATTATAGCAAGAACGAGTCATGATAATAGCCATAGGATTAACAAAAAAAAGTTTGCGATAGATAATGAAGAAGAAGAATTAATGCGAGTTCCTATTATTCTTGCATTTGTCAAATTATTACAAAAATTACCCGAATATATTTTAGAATCTAATTTACCAGGGTAAGTACATAGTATGTATTCTTATATAGGAATCTTCATTCTTGGAAGAAGTACATAGGATATTCTTCCAAGAAATTATAAAATAATAAGAAATTATAAATATATTGTAAATCATTGTTTCAGAATTTTTATGAAATTATGTACATTCTTGAAGTCTCGTTTAGAGTCAGTACGACGTGTTACTCGGGAAATATTACAAAAAATTATGATAACTCTAAGTCCAAAATATCTTCATTATCTTTTAAGAGAAATGAATACTTTACTAACCAAAGGTTTTCAAGTTCATGTTCTCGCATTTACAGTACAATCAGTGTTAGTTGCTTTGAAACCATATTTTCAAAAATTTGATATTAATCAAAACCTTCAAAGCATTTTATCTGTAAGTAATATTATAAATAAATGTTAAAATAGCAATTTTATTATGATCATATTAATAAATTCGCATATTTTAATATATTAGGTATGTAAAATAGATTTATTCGGGCTAACAGCAGAAGAAAAAGAAGTAATAGGAATTGTAAAAAATGTTACAGAAGCAAAATCTACAAAAAGTTTTGATATATTTCATATATTAGCACAGTATATTACTGAATCATGTTTAGTGGACTTAATTTTGCCATTAAAAGAAGTGATTGTAAAAAATCACTCACATAAAACTATTCAGAAAGTAGTAGAATGTTTGAGAAATATTGTATTAGGTTTAGCTGACAATACCTTTATACCATTAGAACAAATGCTAATATTTCTTTATGGAATAGTTTCTGAAAGCATTCCTGAACTCATGCCTGAGGAAAATAATAAACAAGTTACAGAAAAGGAAATAGAAATACTTGTTAGACAGAAACCTGATTGCTTTATTATACCCCCAGAACCAAAAAATAAAATGGGTGTAAAAGCTATTTCAAGGATGTCGAAAAATACGAATGTTCATATCATTATAGAATTTGGTTTAAAACTGTTTCATATTCTATTAAAAAGAGATAAAATATCAAATTCAGACTTAAAGCCTTTGATAGATCCATTTGTACCACTTATAAGCGAGTGCTTAAGATCTCAACATGTTAAGGTAATTTTATTTTATTATTATTACAAATAATAATTGTAATTGATTATTTAACATTGTATGTTGATATTGTATTTTTTTCAGCTAAGCACATTAAGTTTGCAATGTTTAAACTGGTTGCTCAAAATGGATTTATCTTCAATACAAGAAAAAATCTCTGATATTTGTTCATCTATTTTTGATATATTGCATAAATATGCTGTAGCTGGCTTAAACAAAGGAGATAATTTCGATTTAGTGATGGCTGGTTTCAAATGCATGTCTGTAATTGTTCGTGACGTGAAACATTATATAATTAGTACGGATCAATTGAAAGCTTTGATTATGTATGCTGAGCAAGATATACACAATGCTGATAAACGAGCAACAGCATTTGGTTTACTCAAAGCGATAATCGCTCGAAAAATGGTTTTTCCAGAAATGTATCTTGTTATGGAAAAGGTTGCCGCTTTAAGCATTACATCAGAATTAGAACATGTTAGATTACAATCACGTTCCGTTTTTTATTCTTACTTAATGGAATATCCTCTTGGGAAACATTTAAATAAACATATAGTATTTTATTTGACACAAATTAGTTACGAAATGCAACCAGGTCGACTTAGTGCTTTAGAGATGATACACAGTATAGTTACAGGATTTCCATTAGTAAGTACATTTATTCCTTATTTATTCATTAAAGGAAATGGTTCAGTGAATTGATATATTAATTCTAATTTCAGAAAACTTTGATCTTGAAGTCAGATCTCATATTTATTATGGTGGGTGCTAGATTAATAAATGACGATGATCCAATGTGTCGTAAACTGTGCGCTAAATGTATTAAAGAAATGATTACACGAATACCTTATAATAAAAGAAGCAAACTTTTTGATATAGTTGTTGCGTGGTTAAAAGATACTAAAGTAATTACTTAAGATTAATCATAATAATATGCATTATATTAAATGTTATAAAATTACTTTATTATCCATTATTATCTTAGGTAATACATCGAACTCTAGCTGCACAATTATGCGGTATATTTGTAACAGTAGAGAAAGATACTTTTGAGTCTCGCCTAAAAGAAATAGTGCCGCTCCTTTTAAAACAATTTTACGCAAATTGTAATGATAATGACAAACCTGGTCGTTTTGTAAAATTACATGTGGAAAACAAAACTCAATTAAAAATGTACCATAATATTAAAGATCCAGAGAGAATGAAAGATCATCATATGTTTCAAGTACTACAGCTGTTACTAAAGATATCGGCAAATTGTACGACATTTTTCAAAAGTGAAGAATACAAAGAAGCTATTCATTCATTTGCTGGTAAATACACTCTTCATACATTTTCTTAATATTAATAGAATATACTGAAGTATCATCTTGAATTATTGAAGTATTTTCTTGATATTAATAAACTGCAATATATTTCAGAATATAGTCAAAACTTATTGGCTCATCCTCACATATGGGTACGTTTAGCAGCGTCGCAAATGATCGGTTTTATTTTAGCTGTACTTGATGTCGATAAGATTGTAGATCTTTTAGAAAATCCTGAAAAATGTAAAACAGAAACTAGTTACTTGTATTCCGATCCTACTTCCGTTATAAGAAGTTTAACTTTAGATTTAATTGCGCAACTACACCCTGATATGATATTAGAAGAATTAACCGATCAAACCGTTAAGAATTTAATTTTTATCGGGAGAATTTTGAAATCTGTAAAAACGGTTAATACAATGACGATCAATCCAGATGATGAAATGGAAGATAAAGATAGAAAACAATTGTCTCTCTCTTGGCTCGTTAGAAGATTAAGAAAAGCTGTAAATATAGAAATAGCTCAAGCTCCTAAGTCAATAACAGTGGTATAGTATTCATAATTTCTTTATATATAATTTTCTATAATGTTAAAAAGATAATTAGGATATAAATAGTATTTCTTCTTTTAGAGAACTGCTTTCTTTAAGTGGGTTGCTGGAGCAGTTGCTACAATATCCATGGAGTATTTAAATGTAGTACTTTATAACATTATGTCACCAATCGTACGTGAAATATCGGCTACGGAAGAAAAAAATGTCACTTTGAGACGTCTAGCTAAAGAAGCAAATATGATGATTAAAAAGCATTTAGGTAACGAAGAATACACTAGATTATTGAGTCGAACACAACAGAATTTAGATATTAAAAAAGCAGAAAGGAGAAAAATGCGAATGCAACAGGTTTTTATATTTTTACATCTTTTTTATGATATAAGTGATAATAAATAATGACTAATGTTAAAATTACTTTTGTTATAGTTTGTAACGGATCCGGAATTGGCTGCTAAACGTAAAATTTCAAAACAGCAGAAAAAGAAAGAGTCTAGAAAAAGAAAATTGGATAAAGTAAGAGGAAAAATGTCTAAGAAACGTCCTAAAAAAGAAGTTGACTTAGATGTTATATAAATTTCTTACTTAAAAAAATATTGATACTATAAAATAATTTGTTAAGAAAATGTGGTTTGATGTGTTAACGATATTTTTAGAATAATTGCAAATATAATATATATGCAATGTACATTGACATACTTTATTTTCATGATAAGAATAAATATATTGATTTTATACGTGAATATGTACATATGTATGTCTTTAATTATATTTCAATAATATTACATGAACATTGTTTGTATAATAAAATAAATCAATTTATATTATTTGGAAAAACTGATATTTGATGGAAATCGAAGTACTCTACTACAAAAATTTCAATATGTAAAATATTTAAATTATTTAGATAAGTCAATAATTTGTTTTATAAATAGCGCACCATGACATCGATAATTTGAATCTAAAACTGATTATTCTGAAAAGGTAAACTTAATTTAAATACTCGTTAAACGGTATTATCCAAATTCGTGATATCTATTCAATGTTAATCCATGAATTTAATGTAATTTATTCTAACAACAATATTATCAGTTCTCGACCACTTCTCTAAAGGATATAGTTAATAAGGTTTATTATCAGGCATGTCGCAAGATTTTTTCATTTAAGAAAATAATGAAAAGCAATCGTGAATCCTTTGTAACTTACGCGACATTACGTGCGACTAACCGTGCTAGGAAAATTAGTCTAATTATATCTCATTGAAACATCGCCAACTCAGATTTTTATTTCTTTAATTTTATGCTTATAAGCAAGGGGCTAACTATTATTTAGTGGTGTCTAAGCTTATCGGGTTAGCCGTGTTATCAGCGGTTGTTCGATATAAGAAGTCGAAACCGGAATTGAAACGCGAGAATTGATATATTAGTTGTGAACGGAGAACTTTAGCCCATCGATCTGTCGTCCACAGCTATTTCTCGTATAACCAATTTTAGTTCGAACGTATTCATTGATTGCTAAAGAATCAGATTATAAGTTTACGTATATAAAACGTTTCAAAATGTTTGCCACCGTGCTATTGGCTGTAGTGACACTGATTTTACTGATTATTTATATAGTAATTGGACAAGATACAAAAAAATCCCCACCAGGTAATGTGTTATTTTCTGTGCAAACTTTTTGAGTTACGTTATTCGATCAACATCCTATAGAATTAATACATCAACCATTATCGGTCAACACGAAATTGATATTTCCTTTCCTTGTTTTCGTTAGGATAATATTATAATGTTCTTACTTTTGCTATAAATTTTAGAATTTTGATTTGGTAATGTGTTTAATTTTAAATATATTAAACATAAAGATTTAAAATATTAAATCACGAGACGTTTTTATATTTTTTATTGATGTTTAAAATTGTTAATTCAATATTGAATTTTGAACAATATTCCAAAAACACTGAAAGAAATAAAAGAAACGAGACCGTTAACAATGAATGTCACGCAGATGTACGTATACACTAATCGGTTTGAGTAGGTCACTGAACTGGTTTAAATTAGCGTCTCCTCTGTATTCCTTCGGTTAGACTACTTTTTCTAAAGATTTATTCTTTTCATCTGAATTATTTTTTCAAACTTTTACTACTTCAATATAAGTTATAGACAATAACACAAACATTTAAACGTGTAATTAAATTTATGATGATATTTGAAATGATATATATTTTCTTTTTGAAATTGATTCTAAAATCTTTGAAATATTTTTTGTTTAATCTTCATAATGTTTACTATTCTTATTTACTGCTATTTATTTATATACATATGATTATATATATAAATGATATATAAATGATTATCATTATTACTTCAATTAGTATTTATATTTAATTTATAAATAGAATAATTTAAAATTTTTAATATTTGTTTATTTTACTTCAAAATGAAATCAGATATATAATCATGTGATATTTTTTCATCGAATCATATAAAATTCTTGTTTTCCTAAAACGTATTGTTCATTCTCCTTTTAAAAATTCTATTATTTTTTAGGGCCTTTCGCATGGCCGTTTATCGGTAACCATTTTTTATTGAAGCGATTAACTCATGAACTCGGGGGACAGCACAAGGCCTTTGTGGAGCTTTCAAAACGATATGCTAGTGACATGATAACCATCAGTACTGGTCGTGAGAAGGTAACGGTTATTTGTGGGAATAGATTAAGTGATTTGGTATTGAGAAGTGAGGAGTATGATGGGCGTCCTTGGAATGAGTTTATCAAACTTCGAAATCTGGGCAAGAAGCAAGGTATCAAGTTCAAATCCATTTTGGATCATGTTTCGATTAATTCCTTTTATAATTTTTTAAGAATGCCAAAATATGAAATTTATGATTTTTTTTCGTTCCTTTTTTTTTGCAACGGTTACACAATTTTAGTAAATACATAAATACAATTATAACACCTTAGATTGTATGCTATGTAACAATGTTCTTTTTAAATTTGATTATAATGCGATAATATTTAGAATAGGAAATTCGGAAGAATAATATTGTTTCATTTACTGTGATTAAAAAAAAGATGGAACGGATGAAGTTATAGCAGGATCATGTACTATCCCGCCACACCATGAAATTGAAAATAAACTGAATGTTACAGTAAAATAAATAGAAAGCATAAAGGGAAATAAATGCTGCTTATACATTTATTTTAAATGATATATGGAACTTTGTTTATCTTTTAAAATTGTTGTATTTTCAGTCGTTTTATAATATATTCGCAGTTTTAGTTCTCTTAGATGGATTTGTTTTTCTATTATTTTGGATAATCGACGTTTTATTGTAAAAATATATTATAATATTTTATAATCATTTTCCATATATTATCATTTTTCGTTATCTTTGTTAGGCATTACGATGAATGATGGATCAGAATGGAAAGAGTTACGAGGCTGGATGATGCGAACCATGAAGCTTTTCGGTTTCGGGAAACACGAAATGTTAGAAATGATTAAAAATGAACTAACCATGCTTTTGAATAGTTTGAATAAAGAGGGTCCACGGCGATTAAAATTACTAATTACACCAGCTGTAATAAATGTTCTTTGGTTTGTGGCGGCAGGAAGGTCATTCTGCAACGGCCCGAAGTACATAAGTACACATTTTCCATTCGATTTCTTTGCTTTGAGGAGTACCGTTTTCACATATTTGGTTTTCGAATGCGTGTAAACGACTGATTGAACTTGCAAGAATTTATACTCTTATTTGAATTTCTTCTTTACTATAGATCAAATATATCATACGCGAAAATGTATTATACTATAGGATTTCCATAAAAATTTTCGCAAGATGTAAGAAAGAAGTACAAATGAAGAAAGGGTAGAAGCGATAAAATATAATATTTTATGTTATTTAAATTTTGTTAAATTTATTTAATTAAGGAAATATAAGTAAATCTTAAATAAAAGTAACGATTTATAAGAAGAGTTTAGAGATGAGATATCAAATATTTAAATATTTTCAATGGTTTTTTGTAGGCTTGAACAATTTGTTAATTTATTGGAACGTCGATCACAAGCCTTCAACATGATTGGGGGAATACTCACCATTTTTCCTTGGATTCGTCACATTGCACCTGAGGCTTCAGGGTACAACCTTCTCGATACGCTAAACAACGAGCTCAAGGATTTCTTAATGGTACGTCCATTGTGTAAATTAATTATGATTTTACATTTCTTAAATACGTTATTCAACAATCCAGTTATCATATGTGGATTTTTTTTTTACTCAGGAAACTATTAATGAACACAAGGAGAAGTATAAACCAGGCAACGAAACAGACTTAATTGATATGTTCCTCCACGAAATGATGAACACTGAAGAACCCAGTCCAGTTTTCACTGGTACAATTAAATTCATAAATTATTTCATTTATATTTGTAAATGCATTTTACTGTATCAAAAATTTATGTACTTTAAGGAGAAGCATTTTTAATATTCTTTATTCAGTTAAAAGTGATAAGTTTCAAGTTTTCTTTTAGTTTTAAGAGTGCCAATATTACTTATCTCTCATGCTAGTAGAAACATCTATGAAAGGGAAAACGTTTTCATTGGAAACTGTCGTGCATAATTCTATCAAATGTGCGAATTCGTTTTCTTAAATAACATGGTTTTCAGAGGAGCAATTAGTAATATTGTTGGTTGATCTTTTCCTTGCTGGTTGCACTACTACAAGTACGACTTTGGAATTTCTGTTCTTAAGCATGGCGGTATATCAGGACGTACAACGTAAAGTGCAAAAAGAAATTGACTCAGTGATTCCTAGTGACAGATTTCCCGATTTGGAGGACAGAGCAAAGTAATCGAATTTCTCGTTAAATACTTAAATTTGTTTATATAAACATTTCTGTAGATTAATTCAAATTTAATAGAAATTACTAACAGATTCATTAATTATGCGTAATAACTTCCATTTTATTTTTCGTTGAAAAATAAATGTAAATATTCGATGGAGAGATTAGAGAAGTGCAATATGAGAAAATTAAAATTCTTTATTGTTACAGACTTCCATATGTGGAGGCTGTTATATCTGAATCGCAACGATTGTGGCCAGTATTTCCTATAATTGGACCTCGACGAGTTCTTCAAGATACGCAGCTTGATAAGTATATAATACCGAAGGATTCCACTGTTTTAATCAATCTGTACTCTATCAACAAGGATCCTACAATTTATCCAGAGCCAGATAAGTTCAAGCCGGAAAGGTTTATTAAGAACAATGTTTTTGAACCAGATATATACTCCTTACAATTTGGAAAAGGTACAAAATAGAAAAAAGATATTTCGATGCTAACAATAATAATATATAATAATGTAATTAAGATGATAGTACTATTCATGCTCATATATGAATACCCTAACAAAATTGAAAATATCTTTCATGCAATTGATTAATACAGTGGTCACAAGTTAGACAAAACAAAAATAAAAGCTGATTTTACTATGATCATTAAAAATGTGATTGAAGTTACAGGTACTTTTTGTAATTTTAATTACCTTAATTAAAATAATATATTATTTTTTTAGGAAGAAGACGATGTCCAGGCGAAATATTGGCTAAATCTGCATTGTTCATTTTATTCGCCGGCGTAATGCAAAAGTACAGTCTACTTCCAGTTCCAGGTGAAGGACCAAATTCTGTAGAACTTATCCACGGATTGACGATGACACCAAAGCCTTATCAATTAATAGTCGTGCCACGGTAATTGCTGCGATTCTCGTTCATATTGTATATTTTATTTACGCTGCTAATGAGCAAACTTGTATATACATATTATGAGTTATACGTAATTAATAGGAAGTACATTTATTCTTATAAAAATATGTATTTCTGATAAAATGTTCAATTCATGACAAATTAAAAGAACGTTAATTGACTATTGTGAGGAAACAAAACAATAAATATGATTTAAAATACATTGCTTCGTATAGTTATTTTTGAAACATAAGTTATGAATATATTTTTATTTGTTTAATGGTTGTTCCAATGATGAGAATGTTATAGATGTATGCACAATGTAACGTTTCTCGGTTTGAAGTAACTCCACCCATAGATAGACGCAGGTTTGTTTGACTTCGACAAATTTTTCTCTCAAATATTGTTTATTGTTTCTGCCGCGTGAAAGTCGCTTTATGCGTCGTTTTACGTGTTCGACGAAATCAGTTCGTTTCGCAGAAGTCCAAATGTACCTTAACTCACACGCCACGTGGCAAATCAGTCCTTTTATATTGGGTTTTAACGTGTTTGTTAAATATTTCTTTGTTTCTAGAAAATAAATTGTGCAAAGCCAATAAGAATTATATTATATATTATTCAACATTGTTAAGCATTAAAAATAATTTTTTTCTTTTTAAAATTCCTTAATTTTTAATTATCATAGATAAATAGAAGATTGTATGATTTAATAAATTAAATTTTCATTAAAATATTATTTTGTTAAATAGACAATTTGTCTCTTAACTTTGATATTTAATTAGTAATCTTAAGTCGCCAACTTTTAGAATCTTAATTTTAATTATATATCATGTACGTTATATCAATTTATTCTTATAAATATTCAAGACTATTTATTTATATCATCCTTTTCCTTTATATTTGTGAGAAAATTTTTAAAATGTAAAAATCATCAGTGTCTTATACTTACATTTTTAACTAATCATCTATATCATTTACACGGTGACGCTATTTATAATATCAGATCTCGCCGTAAGTTTCAAATAATAAGATTTTGGTGATATAGTGAAACCATCGTGTCCATCCGGATCCGGCTTGCCATGCTCCGGTGAAATTTCGATGTCAAAGTAATGTATAACGTAGGCGAAGAATAAGAATAAGGTTGTCCGGGCCAGAGTTTCACCAGGACAACGTCTTTTACCTGAAAGGTAGAATCATCATCATTAACTCAAAAACGTTTACCTCAGAATATCCAAAAACTTTAAATATTTACATCGAAGATATTTCCCACTGAATTTTTATTTAAATGATATCTGCCTACCAATGTTTTAAAAGTTTCATTTTATCTGATAAATTATTTTTGGATATTAATGAGTTGTTCAAAAATATTTTGAGCGAAAAACAAATGTCTTATACAAAAATAGATTAAATTGGTTAAAATAAAATTTAATGGAAAAAATTCACAATGGAAATTGTTTATGCATGAATTTAGATACCTAATCCAAATGGAATGTTTGAATTATTCTGACAAAATCGCCCATTCACGTCAAGAAATCGTTGTGGTTGAAACTCTTCTGGATGATCCCAGTAAACTTGATCATTATGCACACTGTGGAAATCCAGAAGGATTACGGTATCCTAAAATAATGAAAATGTATAAATTAATAATTTTATTAAAGATATTTATTTATGAAACTTACCTTAGGTATAGTATATCCGTTCAAAATTGTATTTTTCATAGTCTTGTGAGGTAATCCAAATGGCGCCAAATTCAAAAATCTCTGTATCTAATGCAACAATCATCTGTTTACATAATTCTTAACTTATATTCGCTAATAACCATAGTAGTTAATAAATGAAAAAATAAAAAATTTCATTAACTGACAAAAATAATATTATCAGTACTAAAAAGTAACGAAAATGTTGTATTGTTAATAATTGTTAGCAATTGTAGAAATACGTAATGATTTAGTAGTGTGATAGTAAAATATACAGTATTTTGCAGTTATAATAATAATTTCAATAACTAATTACCTCTGCCAGAAACGACTCCATCATAGGTAATGATGAATAATCTTCTACACTAGGAGATCGAGATCTACCTAGAACGGTATCCAATTCTTTTTGGAGTATTTTAATCCATTCAGGATGCAAAGATAAAAATAGAAAAATAGCCGCTAAAGTATCTGTAGTAGTCTTCGAACCGGCCAAAAAAAGATCCAGGCACACAACCAACAAATTTTCTCCTTATAAAAAATTTAATTGGTTTAAATAAGAATAAATGTATTACCTTCAGTTGTATAAATAAGAGAAACGACTCACGATTAAAAATAGAATCATCACAATCGCTACTTTTTGACGAAATTTCTAAAAGAAAAGCTTCGATCAAATTCTCTGGTTGATTTCGAGATAATTGTTTTTCGTGAACACTGATCTCTTCATCTAAGAAATTCCAAAGCTTCTGCAGTATTCTCATTAAGTCGTTGTAACCAGATAATTCTGGTATTATGAACCGTAGAAATGGCATTTGCGAAACAATGCCACCCATTGTATCCATCAATCTATAGAAGAGGAAATGCACATGAATGTATTCGCACAAAGATGAAAATTTATATTTACATTTTTCTAAAATGCACTTTATATATCGTTAATTATAATTTTACTACATTAAACTTTTGAAATTAATTCTTATATATTTTATAATTTTTGTGCATTAAATTACCTGAAAGCATCGTGGACAGTTTGAAGAATTTCTTGCAGTTTCTCATTTTCATAGTCAAATGTGTGACCAGCAAACATATACCATAGAGAATTTAGAACGGCAATGTCGAAAGCTGTATGCATTAGTACTGGGCCCTTGGCACTAGCACGATGAAGGTAATTCACAAGATTTTGAGCTTCAATAGTTAAATGTTTTTCCATAATTGATTGACCTAGACCAAAAGTTCTGAGATGACGCATTGTAAAGCGGCGACACTGAGACCATGTAGTGCCCTCCGCAAATAAAATACCTATTAAAATTTATAAATGAATATATATTAAATTTTTATATTAGTTAAAAATTATATTATAATGGATTTCTTAATTGAAAAGATAATCTTACAAAATTATAAATGAAGATCATGACATTTCAATATAAAGTTTTTAGGTATAATTGCAATAATTTTATTTTAAATATTAAAAGAGACGTACCTTTCTTTTTTCCAAATGCACGGACTTTAAAGAAGAATCCATCTGGTCTGCCATTAAATTCGTCCTGTAGAAGAACTTTCTTCACAAGATCGTGCGTTGAAATCACAACGACTTTCTGATTCCCCAATTTTAGTCCCAAAATCGGACCATAGGTTTTCGTCAATTCTTGAAATGCCAAGAAAGCGTATTTGTGTTTTAGCTTTAATCGTCGAAATGCAAAAATGCATCCGATCAGTGGCAACCATTTTGGACCTGACCAATCATTAAGTAAAATTCATTTAAGTAAATATTTGAAAGCACTAATAACATATCTAACTGTATTCGAATAAAAAATTATAAATGGTACTTTATTAAGAATTTTAATCAACGTTATATAGTACTTGTATTTTGTTTTTAAACGGTCTTTAATTTTAACTGCTTTTAGATTGTACTATAACTTTTACAGAATTATTTTTCTAAAATAGATATAGTTAAAATTTAATATTTATTATTACTTCCACTATTAAGTATAAATTCACCAACCGGGAGGAAAATTGTGTGGTTTGATGCAATCATAAATGCAAAAAATACAAAAAAATACAAGAAGAAGAGAAATGACTGCATAGAACATTTTGAAATGCACTGATACTTCGCTTCAGGACTTCGAATGCGGTTACTATACCAAGCATATATACGTATGGTAACAAAAACGATTCCCGTGGCACCCTGTGATATTATCAGCGTGACACCCATGGCCTCTGACAAAAATATCTTTTTGTCCGAGACATCCTTTACATGATGCTCTCCTCGTTCCGGGTACTACTTATAGAAATGTTATCCGTCTTTTTCCTTGCCTTTTTTCCAAGTTATGATACAACAAAAACTCGACACGTGATAATTCTTCTGGTTAAACTTAACAATCATCGTTATTTATGTAATAATGTGGAAGAAATTCTTGAGCGAAAGTCTTCACGTTTTCGACCGTAAAAAAAATACTAAAAATTATTTATTCAAGAAAATAATTTAAAATTTTATATACCATTAAATGTGAAAAGATTAAAGAAGAATGGAACACCTAATTCAAGCCAATTACAAGTTTATAACATATGATTATTTAATAAAAGCAAACGATAGAAAATAATTTATAGAACAACAATATTACAAAGATTAATGAAAATGGATAAAATAGTCGACATACAAGGAAAGAATAAGAAAACAATCGATATAAAATCATTATATAAAAAAATAATGAACAAAAGATAATATACAAAGCGTTGATAAAAAAGCAATTAATAAGAAAATAATATACAAAAAGTAATTAAATGAACAAGGAATAATTGTCCCAGTTCTTATATTCATTTCACTAAGATTTCACTCAGATTAATAGAGAAACATATTTTGTACAATCAAACCAGCTGCCTATCTCTTTATTCTCATTACATTTTGCGAAAAGCAAAAAGCAGGCGCCATAATGATTTTCAAAGTAAATAACTGTTGAATTATTTTTTGCTAGAACTGCCTAATTGGTGCTGACTTGATACAACAGGTTTTATATTCCTGCCAGTTGCGAGAGAATTGCGATACAATTTCACAAATTCACGAGTTCCTATTAATTATCACATCTGCTATGCCTAGCATTTATTTTGCGTTGTTGACCTTCCGCAATATGGACAAATATAACATAAAATTTTCCTGACACGCCTATAATGTTCTGAAATCAATCTTTTGAAAAGTTTTGAAAAATAACTCTGATTTTCGAATTCTTTTTTATTTGAAATCAAAATTTATTTGTTAAGGTTGTTTTGATTAAAAACGTCCAAATCCAAAAAATTGATTATCTAACCTAGTTCTCAATTAGATGTTATAATAGTGTTTTATAATCACCTTTTTTTAAGATAATTGTTTACACATTAATGTGAACGCGTTTAAGTGCTTTAAAACAAACATAGGTCGACGTCTTGAACTCGAATAAATCTTGTACGATTTGTAAGTATATTGGCGGATACAAATCGTATACAAAGCAATAAACGCTTCTATGGATGTTCTCAAGTCCATTTTTCTTTTTCTTCTTTTCTGAAAAAATAATTTTCCTCTTTCTTAAATTATACACGTAGAGTCAATTTTTACGGAGAAATTTAAATTATTATTTGTCACTTTCTAACAGTGTTGCGTTATTACCACAGAAAAACTAGTTACGATCAATTTTCGTTTCACGACCTTTAAATTCGCGCCAAATAACTCACTAAAATTTAAATTAGAAAATACTCGAAGGTGACGCTAATTGGACATTGTTTCTCGTGTGCGAAATTTATTTAATACGTTATAGTTTATCGTTGATTAATACAATTGTTTATTATTACGATGATTGTTTGGTATCGAACACGAGAAATTTTCATTTAACTATAGCTTTGCTTCCAGAAATGTATGAAATAATTGTCTTGGAAGAACAATTTTGGATACTCAATTTTTGTATCTAAAATATAGTTATTTAAAACTTACCTAACAAATCTTTCTAAATCTTTCTAAAGTAAATTACTTCTATTAATATATTTTAAATAATAATTAATATAAATACATTTTAATAAAAAAATCTTTAAAAAATCTTACTACCAAATCTATAAACTTTGACAAGATAAATGTTGCTGCAAAGTATGACGAAACAAAGGAAAGAACGAAGCCCGAAGAAAAGTGAAAACCGTGTTGGCCGACCGTGGAGATCGATTAGAAAATACGTACGTACGACATTTCTCCGATTCCTTTTTTTTCTTCGGCATGACACATGTGATGAAAAGTCTGACCCCGCGATATAGCTGGATTATAGCAAAGTTTCTCTTGTCGCACACCGGGGCTGATTTCATGGAGTGACACACAACACACACACATAAGATTTATTAAGCTAAGTTTATACAAGTGAATGTGCGTAAACGAATGTGACAAGTATCAACAACTGTTATTCTTTGTTTGATATCATATACATATATACGCCACGTTTTATTAAATCGTCTTGCACTAAGCAAAATGAAGAACAATGAAGATTCTTTATGGCTAGTATATACTATACCACGCAGCAAATGCGCGAAATGTCTTGAAAAAAGTGATTTGCGCATCACGACATTTTACGTCGTAGAACTGCATTAAGTAGGACGATTTAATAATAATGTTACTATATCACTAGAAAATATTTTGTTTATATACGTTTTATAGTGTGGACAATACACTTGAAATTTTGACATTTGTGTTTCTCTTGTGCTTCTTCACTTAATAATAATAAAATCATAATTTAAAATCGAATATCAACAAACACAGTCGAATTAGATTTTAACTGTTCCCCCATGTATTTATCATGATTGCTTGCTATATTTATACTCATTCTCGTTCATGCACGTTCGCCTTCCATCGCACGTGTCCGGTGTAGGCTCGGCTTTAAGCGTAGCCGTATAACAGTTTAGTGCAAACATACACACCCTCGTATACATGATGCATACCTATGCATTTATATGTGTGGATATGTGTATATGACTATGATACGAATTAATTTATACCGTTAGAACGTTCATATACATGAGTTTTATATAAGCCAATGTGTGTACACGGATACTTTCTCTATAGTCGAGGTCTCCCATATACAACACTTAATTTCCTTCCATAAACATCTTGAACTTTCTCCAGTTTCGCAGCGGCAGCAACAACGGCGATCGCGTGGTTACGTTGCGTCATGACAAACGTGGTTCCACGGATGATGAAGTGGATCAGTAAGACGAATGTGTTAACGAAATATGAAGAAACTGTTTTGATAATACCAATGATTAGTATAGGTAATAATTTGGCTACGTAAAGTTTGAAAAAGGAGCGAGGAAAGATAGAAGTACTAGGTTAATTTGTATTTGTTTACTAATAAATTGGTTTATAGCGATAATTTGTGTAAAAAATATTTATTTATTTCTTGCTTTGATGAAATATTCTAGTCTTTAGTAAATTCTGCTGTTCCTATTATTTTAGCAATACAGAATGGTTCTTTTTTTACTAAATATATAAGTTCTTAGAAATTCGATGCCTAATACATAGGAAAATGAAAATAAACTATGAAATGATTAAAGAATTACATCAACAAAATATTAATCAACTTTATTCGTAACGGCATCGGTTAACAAAGAAAGGTAACAACAACATTGTATAAAAAAGTGAAGGAAGAAGGAAATATACATAAAGGTAAAACGCGTTAGAATCAGGACTATATCAGTCAATTAATCCATCGAAAACTTAGCTCTCTACAACTTATCATACGACTAAAATAATATATACAGCGGCTTATGTTACAATACTTTCACGAATAGAGTTTTGTACAAGCATACTGCTCGATCAGTGATTAGGGAACGCGAAATTGCCTGCCAGGCCGCTCTGATTATTTGATGCCGGCGGTGGTACCAGGTCTTGACTTATCGATGGAGCTTCAGTTTTCGATGATCTATCCCACCTAACTTTATTCTCATCGACTTGCCGTTGTTGTTGCTGACCTTGAACATTTTGCTTTGAGATATTGTCAGGATTGTAAGGAACTACTTGAGTACTTTGAGCCTGAGTATCCTTTCGATCTTCCCAGCCGTGATGATGAGGATGATGGTCATCTATGGGAAACCATTCCGATATCCAGACTGGCTTCCAAATTTTCTTCCATGCTGGAACCCAAATTTCCTTCCAGGCTGGTACCCAGATCTGTTTCCAAGCTTCTTTCCAGGCTAATTTCTTATCAGGTATCCATTCCAGTTTCTTTTCAGTCTTCCAAATTTGTTTCCAAGCCTCCTTCCATTCTAATTTTTTATCAGGTACCCAAATAAGTTTTTTGGATGGTTTCCAGATCTGTTTCCATTCTTCCTTCCATATCAGTTTCTTATCATCTACCCAAATTTGTTTCTTAGCTGGCTTCCAGATTTGCTTCCAGGCTTCTACCCACTCTAACTTTTTGTCTGGTACCCAAATCTGTTTTTTCGCCGGTTTCCAATACTTTTTCCATAAAGGTTTCCAGATTAGTTTTTTCTTCCACAAATCATGGCTACTATATTGCCACCAGAATTTCTTTCCAAACCGGCTTCCAGATCTTTTTCCACGCGGGTACCTGAATTTCTTTCCAAGCTGGAACCTTTATAGGTTTCCAGACGGGTTTCCAGACTTTCTTCCATGCTGGTACTTGAATGTCCTTCCACACTGGGACCTGTATTTCCTTCCATACTGGCTTCCAAATCTTTTTCCAAGCTGGTACCTCGATGTTCTTCCACACTGCTTTCTTCGTTGGTTCCCACACAGGTTTCCAAATTTTCTTCCAAGCGGGCTTCCAAATTTGTTTCTTCGCAGGTTTCCATATTTTCTTCCATCCTGGTTTCCAGATTAATTTCTTCTTCCAATACCCTTTATCATGATGATCATGATGATCATCGTGATGTTCTTCGACTGTAGCGCCACCTCCATTTCCAGAGTGACCAAAACCAACACCAATATCACCGCCACCGGAATGACTATAACCACCACCGATGTCACCACCTCCGGAATGACCCAGACTACCGTCGATACCACTACCTCCAGAATGGCCAAAACTTGCGGAAATGGCAGCTCCTCCAGAATGACCGAAGCCACCTCCAAGATTACCGCCGAGGTCACCACCATGACCATTTAAATCTCCACCATGACTGCTGAAGTCTCCACCGTAACCGGTACCTAGATCACCGCCGTGACCTCCCAAGTCACCACCCCATCTCTTTTGTGCCGCTGTGCCATATCTACATACAAAAATTATTTGAAGGGTTGTAATAATTTTATAAAATAATCTAAATTTATTAGTAATAAAATACAAATATATGATACTTGACCTTCATAAAAAAATGAAAGAAGTAATTTCAATGAAATTTGATTTGTGTTTTTAGGAAAAATAATAAGAGATATACTTACGGAGTTTGTTGCTGAGACTTTTGTTGTAGTTGACTCTGATCGACTGCCTTGCTCGCCACAAAAGCGATTTGCAGCAGCACAAATAATGCAGCCTATAAACAACATAAGTGGGCGAATATAATGGAATTTCACCAGAAATATCACACCAGTAAATGCCTGTGATTTGTTTTATTTTAAAACTTTGTTTTATTGTTTTTGAATTCTAAACCGCATGTTTACTACTGTTTAGATCTTGATAAGAACTTGAAACATAAACGTCCATGTGGGGACGGAGAAATCTCTATTCCTTTATGGCGATGTTCCAGACATGACTTTTAACGGCTTTTCGTTTATGGAACATCACTTTCGAAACTCGCCGTTGATCGATAATCAAGTAACACGTTTGTCGACAAATAGTGACCAGTGTCTTACAGTTGCGATTCTGCCTACTGTTGTTTTCAAACTGTTATATATTGTGGGTGAAGAGAAACAAACTACTAAAGAATACAGGTGCAGTTTACTTTATAATATATTATAAGAACATTTAAAACTTTCAAAATATTAAATATTTAAAAATTTTCATAAAATTCATGAATGTGGATTTCTAAATTCATACTTATGCTTGAATAGAATGTTTCAATGTTTAAATCGATCACCATTCTTTTATTCCGACACTCGATACTTACTCCAAATACGACGAATGTCGAAGACATCACGAATTATTTTGCTAGCACCCTTGCTACGATAAAATTGTTTAAAAACATTCACCTTACTCTGAATGATACTTAAAAGCTTTACCGATATGGAATATGTTAATAAATTTAATCAAAACTTATTTTGCAATAAAAACTGACCACGCATCCCGGGCGAATCCTCATATTTCTCGCAATGCCGCCCGTCGGGCTTGGGCCGCGTACTCTTGTTCCCTAAGTGCAGGAAAACGTAAGTTACTTCGTCCAATCAGCGGAACGCCGTAGTTATATAGGCGCGTATTCTCCCCCAGTGCTATCGTCGGAAGGTGGATCGTGGTGTGTCTGGGCCAGGTGGTTAAAGTGGTGGTAAAATCATCCTGGTGGAGGAGGTAGTCCACATAGTCGGAGGAAATCGAGAAGTGATGGTGGTGGGTTCTGACGAGACAGCGTTACGGAAAGCCCGTAACGCGACTGCCTAGCGATGGGACCGATCATATTTCTTATTGGATCACCAGATGATATTATTGGCCAAAGGTATTTTAACGCTTTATAACGTTTATCTATTTCTTTGAAACATACATTTGATAGAAGATATATAAAATTGTGTATTTGTTTCAGAAATAAAGGGAATATTATTTATATGGTCCGGTAATAATATTTTTCAATATTTAATTTATCTGGTAATTGTAGAATTTTAGGCAACTTCTCGATATAAAGCAATATATTGTGTCTTTACCAGATATAAGTTTAACGTAAAAATGATTGTTGGATTGTTTAATAGAAATTGCTATAACATAAAATGTTTCAAACAAATTGTATATAATATTGCATTATCTACTCTTTCAATTATTTGAACATAATACCGGTTACAATATTTATTTTATTTGTTTTAATTATTTTCATTATATACATTTTATCATTTTATTGTACTTTAGTTCAATTTCTCATATCATTCTAACAATAATTTATAACTCTTATAAGTAACATACATCACACATTTCATAATCATTGTGACAAAAGGCGTTCATAAATTTATATACAAAGCTCAACAGGGAGTTAATCCCATCACTAGGTGCGCTTTCCTTCCTCCTTGCTGGTATCCACCTCCCACGAGCAGACTGGCAATCTTACTTTATACCACGATGGGCCATCGTTCCGGAGAAAGTGATCGAGAACATGATCCGGTCGGACAAGCCTGGCGATTTCGTTCTCTTAGTATTTGCGTGGCTATGTCCAGCGAAGGCGAAGTTCACGGGTAGACAAGGTTATGTAGCAAGGTTATACCTGGTGCTCTAGATTACTTGAGAATGTAAAGGTGGTGGAAAAGGAGATCGACCAAGCCACCTCGTGTTTCACGTGAATTTTTTCTCCTCGAACGATTCGATCGATTTTAGCTATCTGTTTTACATGCATGTCGGTTTCTCTCCAGGGATGCCCCGGGGCTGGACCACAACCGTTTTTCCTTTCACATGCCCTATCGTTGATGAGTGCCTGAAGGACTATCGAGAAATCGCATTTTACTATTTGATCTCGTAATCGCAGAAACAATGAAACAAAAAGATATTTCACTTGTAACAAATGTTTAAAAGAAAATAAATCTTAAATCTACGTGGAAAAATTTATTCTACAAACTGTAAAAATTGTATATTTCTTCACATAAATACATATTTATGAGCTTCCTGTCCTATGGGAAATTGCGGAACTAATTGTTGCTGCGAAGCACAATCATTGAAATAGTCATGTAGTTTCGCCTTTACGTCGAACGGAAATAAATTCAGCATGATTTCTAACGCCTGGTCTTTCATTAATTAGGCATTCAGTCAGGTTCACATAGATCAACTTCCAAATACAAGACGCATGATTTCGTTTACACAATTTTATTGCTCATTAAGTTATTTAATATAGCCATGTGACAGGAAACACATAAATAATCTCTTATTTAATCAAATGTTTGTCTCAAGGTCACCGAAAAGTGTCCAAAATATACGAAACCAAAGAAATTTTTTCTTTGTAAAAAGGATACAAAAAAAAAGGGAATTTATTTATTCCTATGTATTACATGCTTTTGCAAGATTTAATCGTCTGAAACAAAATAACATGCACAGGTTATGGCAGCGTTGCGTCCTCGTGAAAGTATACGCTGAAGCGGGATGAAATTTTATAATGCAAAAGTGACGACTCGTGTTTCGAACAATTTTTCGTGACCATTTTTTGACCATTGATTATTGCGAAATCTATTTCACTATTTCATCTACAAATTTAATATCTCATAATTTGAAAGTATAATATCGCAAGGCAAGTTTGCAGGGAGAGGAAGTGCATATGCATTCAAACAAAATGAGCGTATTTTTAAATAAATCTATAGAAATGTATAACCTGCAATTTGATTATTAAATTTTAGTTCAACTATCTAATGAAACATGTTATCCAGCATTTCCGGGATGATTTTTGAAACCTCTTTACGAATACGAAACTGTTAGAATACGTTCTAGCTATTCCGGTTTGTAAATCATTCGCTTGTACATTTGCTCCAGATTTTCGAGTCTGTACGGAAGAACAATCCAGACCGTCGTTTCACCACTCTTCCTCAACCAGGATATTAATTTCCGCCTGATATCAGCATCTTCTTTCTGTTTCGAGAAGCACAGCTTTAAATCTGAGAGTCATCATTCTTAGAATTTCTTAAGAACATTTTAACTTTCTTTTTTTTCATAATTTCCTAACTGCATGCCATGAGCTAAAAAGTAAATATGAAATACATAGTTATCGACAATTATATAACAAAACATCAAGAATTTATTGTCATATACAGCGCCATTTTATTTCCTATTCTTTGAAGAGAGAGAGAGTTGGTACGCACTTTCGATCGATTTCAACGTTTTTAATGTCCAACGAGAAATGTCAACATAACAGAGATGTCTAGATGTTAGCAGCAACTCTTATGGGTAGAGAGTAGGATACGGTGTGACATGCATCGTTTGATGCGTGGGTAGAAGTGGAAAAGGAACATTTAAAACGTTCCAAAGGCGCGACGGCAAATAGAGGATCGAAGTATTTTAGAAATTCGTATTTGCACTCCAAATGGTCGACTTATGGGCGGCGAGTACCTACCGTCTGCTTTCTAAACGATTCGTCCCTCGAGATAGCTCGCCGACACTTCGCTCCTCGAAATCTCTTCTCCGATATTTGGGTTATACGCCCCGGTAAAAAGATTTACGGAAAACAAACGATTGCTACATGTTCCTAGAAACGGTGTCTTAGTTTAGTTATTATCAGAAGTGGAACTAGGTCTTCCCCCTATTTTCTTCTATAAAAGTTAGTGAACAAATTAGTTAAAATAGTGAACAAATTAATACTTGATATTTCCTTTTCTTAAATGTATATAAAATTATATATTATATATACCATGCTTTTATCTTGAGTAGTCGACAATAATCGAGGGAACAAGCAACCGGGTGAACAATATGTAAGTTACATCCTTCCTATTTTACGCACGATACTTATCTTTTGAATCTAAAAGGAAAATACGATATATAAACGTATGAATTTTTCTTAAAAGATCAAAATTATAGCGCATTTAATTATTACTTATTTAGAAAGTCGAAAATATTTGTATGAAGTAAAGAAATAAAATTCATATAAAAATTGTTTTCTTAAAGAAACATATCTATAAAAACAATTCTTAAAAAACAAAAAATCTTAAAAAAATAGAAACATTAAACTTATTTTGCCGGAAGCATTTAACATGTCACGTTACTTCATTAAGAAGACATGTAGTTATCTAAAACATATTTTCAATGTCTTGTGCTGGATTCTAACCTCCTTTATCAACGAAATAAAATGTTAATTACATTATTAATCTTCAGAGTGTAATTATAACCTTTTAAATCAGAAACTTTTCGTTTGTCTTCAACTTTTTGTCCATGTAATTTCACAGGAGTGAAAGATGTTCGAGGTGATTTCATACCGCCCATCGGTAGATACACGTATGGGGCGTGCGTTTACGCACGTTCGCATGACCATATAAACAAATATTATCGCGTTACCTAATCACTGCTACCCATCACCCATTATCAATTAATAGTTTGCCATGATTTTCACCAAGTTAATTCATTAAGGTGTGGAAGCAAATTTCTCAGAAATTATTTCTATAATCATAACCTGCAATCTTAATTTGACAATTAGCAAAAAAATTACGGTTATTGCAACTTTTTTTCAACATTTTAACCTTACCATTTTGTAATATTTAACATGATCTTTAATATATATTGTGCCACGTTTACGATTTTTAATTCACGTTAAACTTGCCATATAAGTTATTGACGTTACCAACGTATGTAAACAAACATTTGTCACCAGCCATATCCGTAATTTGAACTAAAGACATGAAAAGAGTGCAGCACAGAACGGATTACAAAGTAGTTCAATGTGGCACATATTGATTCAAATTATTTTGACTAACTTTAGTTGCAATTAAGGTTCAAAAATTTATTTTTTATTATTAGAAAGCTTTTATAAACTTTCAAAGTATTTTGAAAGATTTTGTTAGTTATTGTACTTCTTAGTGTTTCCTTTGTCGAACATTCAACAAGTGTTACTCAATTGAAACGTTGTTTGGCGTTCAATTAGAGTGTCTAGAATGTGCTATCGTTGTATGGTTCTCATGTACGTCGAACATGGAGTAGTATGTTTAACTATATCGGATAGTAAGAACATCCGCTATTTCCAGTCCATAGAAGTTCAGTGAAAGTAACGAATACAGCCGGGCAATTGATGTAACAACTTTGCTCTAGACTTTGGTCTATCTCGTCATTCCATTACGAATTGTAACGCCTTCTGAAACCACAATTCCTGCTAATAAGTAGGTAACTCAGTGAAAGGTACACTATCGTTTATGGTCAATGTCTTAATATTAAATTAAGTGATTCGCATACTATTAAAAATATCTAATTAAAATATGCAATCAAATTTAAAGTAAATTTTTTAATATTTGTATATTTCACATACTATAGATGTTATACATCTGCACCATAAGTATCTAACATTTACAATACTAATATTAATTCTGTTGATTTGAAAGCGTTAAGTATTGTCACATCCTTATTTGAAAGTGAATTGCGTGAATTTCTTTGGATCGTAGATTGCGTACATACTTCGATTTCCTAGAATGCAATTGCATAGACTTC